GACATGCAAGGTCAATATATCTTCTATACACAATTATTCAATTCTTAAATTGAGAATGCAACAAAGAATTTCTGATAAAAGTTTATGACGTGCTAGATAAATATCTTATTCAAATTCAGGTAATACACAATTATGTTGGTTCTATCTTGTATTCTTGTAAAAATTCTTAATTTGAGAATGCAACAGTCCTGATCTGCATTCTGCATGGTGAAATTTTTGTCTGCCTTTATTGATCTTACATCTGATTCCAAGAAAAGTTCATTACGACTGAAGAAAGTAGAAAACTTGAGGGATTTATCAGTGAAGCTAAAGAAAAGATAAAGTAGAAAGATAACGTATGTGAATCCTGCCTGGTATGGATAAGATAAAAAACACCATTATGAGTCAGATAGATTAGCAAACAAGCCCTGCCCAACAAGAGATAAGCTTTAATTGAAAGTTTTAACAATAGTATCATATAGAGAGATCATATAACTTCAATGATAAGTCGATAAATTTCTAAGTTTTAGATGATACGACATACACAAGGTTGGTCTTATCTTGACTACTTTATGATAAGTCTTTTCTTCATTATCTTTCAAACCACTAACTTGAGGCTGGCAGTATAACATGTCTTGATTTTCAGTATCTAAACCCATCGAAGCAGTCTTATATTTAATATAATATATTTCTTAAAATATTTGTAGTGTATTGAAACAATCTGATTTTTTGATTTTTTGGAGATTTTCGCATTTGGCATATTCTAATTAAAATTTTAAAAATCCTCACCTTGAAATTTATAATTTTTGGAACAGATATAAACAGTAGAATATGAATTTTGAAGAAAAAGAGTACCAAGGAAGGTAGAACAGGAAGTTCAATATTTCTAATTAAAAGCTAAGTTTGAGAAATAAATAAACCTAAATATACAGAAAACTTCAATATGTTGCTAATCATATGCCTTTTGAAACCATTCTATTTTCATGGGATTTCTACATTGGCAAATGTTTAAAGATATATCAACTTGAAAATATCCATCTTTAAATCTTTAACAGTATGTTGCTTTTTTGCTTCATTGCTCACAACATGACATTCCCTATCTTCATTATCTCAGTAAGTTTAAGAAAATGAAAATCTGTTAATATTTTATCTTTGGCCTAACTGATACCATTTTCTGAACTAGAAATATATCAAAGATTTTCACTGATTCCTGGAACACTATCAATTGGTTGATTCCATAATCATTCCTGATTATCTTTTACCGAAATTCATATTTTTTGTGCTTGAAATCTGCCATCATTTTTCAAATCTTGTAATAGAAAAAAATAATTTTGATAAGACCAAACGATAATTCTCAGAAACATATTTTTTTGCTGATAAATTTGGCCTATCTCTAGATATTTGATTTGAAAGAAGGTGAAATGTTAACTGATGAAATTTCCGCTCAGGGGAATTTATCATCTCATAGAAGATAGTGATAAGAGAGTTTGGAAAGGAATTTCATCTAAAATTAGGTTTTGGGATGATCAAACTCCACTAGGCCTCTAAACTCATCATGCACATCTAAAAGATATTCATGTATATATCTTTAAAGATATTCATGTATATATCTTTAAAGATATTCATGCACATCTAAAAGATATTCATGTATATATCTTTAAAGATATTCATGTATATATCTTTAAAGATATTCATGTGCATCTCAAAGATATTCATGCATCTTAAAAGATATTCATACACATCTCAAAGATATTCATACAAATCCCAAAGATATTCATGCACATCTCAAAGATATTCATGTACATCTCAAAGATATTCATACATATCCCAAAGACATTCATACAAATCCCAAAGATGCACATCCCAAAGATATTCATGCACATCCCAAAGATATTTCTCTCCTGATAAGATATTCCTGTGGAACTTTTAAGATATTTTCATGGACATATCAAAGATATTCCTGTGCAACTCTTTAAGATATCTATGTGCACCTCAAAGATATTCCTGTTAAATATTTCGAAGATGTTCATGTTCACCCAGTAGAAATTCATACTCACCACAAAAATATGAGATATCCATGCACCCTAAAGATATTCAAGATAACCATACACCCTAAACATATTCAAGTTATCCATACACATGAAAGATGTTCATGCACATTCCAAAGACATCTATGTATTATTATCAGAGTACATTTTCAAACATAAACAGAGTCAGTTCATGTTAATCAGGAATACCTGATTTAGTCCTTTTACTTCCCTATATACTCAGTTTTTTGACCATTTTTAGCTGGCCGGAAAAAAAATTATTTATAACTTGGTATATTTTTGACACAGATATCAAATTAGAATTATTTTATTTGACTTGTTTTTTAAACTCACTTTAAATGGTGGGTTTGACAGGTTTGCATTTACCATTATGCCAATGAGCAACCTTTCAAAGTAGGCTATTGTCAGATCTGTGATCAATGACCACAGAAAATGACAGAACAGAAATGCTTAGAGCTGTACATCTTTTAGTTAAAGATAGTCCTAAGATAGTTCAGGGATAGTCCATTCATTGTGAAGCCCTATCCCTTTTAGCTGAGAAAATTTTTTTTCAAAAAATTACAAAAATGATGATAACTTAGTGTTATGAAAGTCTATATCTTCATAGTAACATAATATATGTAGGTGACATGAACGGTTTTGATGGTGTTCACTGATAATCATTGAAAAAGCCTTAAGATTTTATTTTCACAATACCTCAATAAAATAATGACCTGATAAAAACCCAAGATAAGATATGCACATTTAAAGCCTAAAATAAATAACTTTAAATCTATGATATATCAAGCATGAAATGTAAAACTCTTATCTATTGCATTAAAGGGAATATTTATCAGAGTTTTAATCTTTGATTATTGTAAAAATCTGTGTTCTGTACACACTTGGATGACTTGTGAGTTGAAAATTAGCTCTTAATTGACTCACAAAATTGGAAAATTTCAGTGTAGAAGACACACAGGCAGACAATGTTGGTTTAAGCGAAAAATAAAAAAAATATGAAACACATTAAAGGGATAGTTATCATAATGATATCTAACTTTTACTTTATTGACCTGTAATTTAAATATCAATCTATTTATATAAATGATGAGAAATTTGTTTTTATATATTATCTGTGATAATTTCACTCAAATTAAAATAAGAAATATAGCGTTCTAATATTACAAACAATTCATTTGACAAAACTTAACACTACTAAATTCGAAATAACAGTTTACAATACAGTACATTGGTTGTAGCGAATGAACAATATCTGGAGTTATATTAGATGAAATGGAATGAGTTACAATTTACATTAGACCACAGTTGTGGCTTATGCAATGGACATTAGATTACAATTTATTATTTGTTTTTAGTCTCCATTGTAATCTTACAAGTTTTTTTTACCAAAGGCCTATCTCAATGATGTTACTTTCAACCAATCAATGCACATCATGTCGAACCTGTTTCTTGCTAATATAAGTAATTGTGGGATAGCAAAACCCAAAGAGGCTGTAATATTGCTCTTCTTTAGGTTTCTATATCCTACAATTCCTTAATTCATAAAGAAATGGGTTCAAATGACATGCTCTGATAGGATAAAAATACTACCTTTGGGACAGACCTTTGGTTGAAAACATGTTAGATTATTATTGAGACTAAAAAGATATCAGAAAATGAAAAGATACGAAATTGGAATCTAATTGAAATTAGATTAGGGCTAATGCAGCATGATAATTTCTGTATAGATATCTCAGATGAGTTTTCTGTCCAAAACATGTGTGAACGACAAATTTATGAGCTCTTGTCAAATTAATTTAAACTTAAACGATCAATCAAATAAAAATGTGGATTTTGTACTAAAAAATCCTAAAAAAAACTCTGTGCAGATGGAAAGCATCTATTATGCTTGATACAAAGTAAGGCTTATCAGTCTTTATATTTTGATAGACTGTATTGTGAAACAAAATGTTTGAAGGTATTGAACTCTCAAAAGAGATTGACAAAAATATAAAAGACTAGATTTTACTAAGAGATACATTTCTCTTTATCAATAGCAATATGTTATTGTACAAGATAAAGCACAAAGAAATCTGTTTAACGCTGCAATAAGCAAACTCAAAATACATTCAAATGAAATGAAAATTTTTTTTACATCTTATTCAGGTGAAGTCTTAAGTGATATTCAGAAATAATGCAAAACTGTTTTTAAAAAAATCAGATTGGAATCTTATTTGGGCCTTAACAGACACCATGCATGTTGTGAAAGAATGATGAATTTAGGATCAAGTTAATCTAACCTGGATTATCTTTAATAGTTGATTAGGATTAGTTAAATCTTTTTCAAAGCATGATAATGCAAGGTTGTACTTTGTACCCATATCTTATCTATGGTCATATCTCGAAGATAAAAAACTAGTTTTATCTTTTAATGAATTAAGATTTTTTATTTAAAGTACTTGGATTTATGTGTAGTTAACAAGTTATTGATTTTCAGGAAGATTACAGTCTGCTTGACATTTGGTACAGGGTTATTTTCAGGTCTAGGTGTGGGTGACTTTCTTTAACTTGAAAAACCATTTCTGTAAATGAGAGCAGTATACACCGTCACCTTAACACCAAGTCGTAACCAAAAGCAAAAAACGACACCTAGACACTCTTGTATTCAAGAATGGCTTTTACACCAAGGCACAATGTTATTTTCAGGAACCCTTGATCATATATTTTATTATATATCTTTTATAATTATATAGCTACTGGTAATAAAACATCTTCCAATTTCAGATTTGGTCATTTGAATTAAAATTGTCACCACCTATAGCCTACTGATGCTGGTGTTGCTATTTCTTGGTGTCAATCAATGACTTGAGATTATTAGATACGTAACAGCTCTAGAGGATCTTTACCAAGTCTGCAGGTTCAGATACGATAATGTATTTATAGAATCATGTTCTCGTTGCAGGATCTTCCAAAGAAGAGAATGACTCTCAAGACATGAAGGAGTCAGAAGTGAAACTAAAAGATGGAAGTGATTTATCCTCCCATGAAGACGAAGATGAACCAAAAGCAAAAAGGATCAAAATCCACCAAGAAGATCATGCACAGAATGAAGAAATTCAAAATGGCCACCATGTTAAACCATCTGCGTCTGCTTTGATGTCTTCATCTCCAAACAGTATGATGGAAGGTTTACTAAGTCATTTACAGTTACCTAGTGACGTTTTACATTTAAAACGTATTGAAGTTAATGTTGATAATAATTTAACATATGGATGGGTAGTGTGTAGTGGAATTCCTCTACCTAAAGGAAGTAGTCTAGGACCGTTTCAAGGAGAGATAATCTCAACTGATGTTAAAGTTAAAATGGGAGATCTGATTTTACAGGTAGGTTTCTGGAAATTGACTAAAATCTTGTTTTGCTCTCTTATTTCAAGAGTTGATAAAAGATCATCTCCAGGCAAGTCTGATGACAATTTAGCTCAGTGAATGCTTTCCACCCTAGCAGCCAGTTTACCTGGCACACAATTACACAATTTATACCCAAACATCCAGTGAATTGGCAGTTACCAAGTGATGTCACATAATGTTAACATTATAAGTTATATTACTTTAAAGTTCAGGGTATATGACTTTTTTCATTTACACTCAGTGTTCAAGGGTAGAGTGTTCTTGAAATATGGATAGTTTTATCTCTGTAGACACCAAAAAAAATTATATTTTGTAGTTTAATAGTATTGGAGGAAAACAAGCATATGTTAATGTTTCTAATCAGTCTGGTGCCTGGTTAACATTACTACGTCAATCAACCGATTCATCATGTTGTAATACACAAGTACATCTAGATGGTACGTACACTTTTTATTGAAAGATAAAAAAAACGTCATTTCTGAAAGTACTGATCAAACTTTACAGACACTTGCAGTTACATGTTTTGTTGTAAATAAAGTTATTTACTTATGTATATAAGTATAATCTCCTTTAATCTATATCTACATATATGAATGAAAGCATTGCTGCAGAACTAATATGGACAAAGTTCATGTGAAATAGGAGAGAAGATACTAGTAGTATATATATAAGATAACCATGATGAACAATTACAGAAAAAAACTTTACACTTGTACAAGTCTTGTATCCAATTTTTCCTAAAAAATACCACTTGAATTTTCAGATCCTTTGGTCAAATGACACTATATAATGCAATCCACAACTTTAATATGTTTCACCTTATTTTTTTCAGGTGGTAGAATATGGTGTCAAGTTGAATCTGATTTAGATATTGGATCTGAATTAATAGCCTCATTTACATTTCACGTAGAAGGTGAAGAAGAGCTGCGAAACAAATCACCAGAATCTTCAGTTGAAGAAGAAGCAACTACTGCAGCTTCACCGAAAGTAACCCAACCTGTTATAACTCAATCATCAACTAAACCAACTTCAGCATCTGGCCATGGTAAATATAATTCTTATATTTAGCAGCATGAATTTAGGATATGTCCCAATCCCTTTGTCAATTCTACTGTTTAAAAAGACTGTGCACAATTATTCTTAGAAAGTATCCAAAAAGCACAGGGATTGCAACTATTGACTCAGTCCAAAATATTGCCAATAAACAGTCTAAAATGTCTAACCTTGTTTTCCTACTTTTACGTCTGTCTAACAAAATATTCTATGAAAGTGTCCACAACCAAAAAGGTTTTGGACCAACCCAACACTAACTTCTAATTGTCTTAATTGATGTACTTCTTTCAGCTGCTTTGATTTATGGTTGTCCATTTTGTGGTGTAAGATTTAGTAGTCCCAGGACGCTACAAGGTCATATCTCATTTTATTGTTCACGGAAACCATCAGCTTCAGCTGACCAACAAGACCAAGAATCTCAATCAGAAGGTACAAACTTTAAAATTCTTTTTGTTGTATGTAAAGCAATTAGTTTTATCCAGGCCTTACACCTACGAAGCCTAAAATACACTCCATTCTTGACTCCATCAATAAATTCAGCAATACTGGTCCCTCCCAACTGCTTATAAATTTCGAGGATGACTTAATATTGTCTCATATAATTTCACTGAAGCTATTTTTTTTTTAAGATTTATTTATTTTGAAACTGCTTATCTAGATATTGGCAGGTGTATTGGCAGTATTGCATGAGGCAGAATATGCTCACTCTTTCTGAGACTTTGGTATTATTTTCCTTTCGGCTTTATCACTATGAACATAATTTGAAGCCTGCTTTGTGATAATGATGCTTAATAAATGGTAATATTTCAGATGGACACCAATCAGTCAAAGATGAACCTATAACAGATGATGAAGGTGAAAGAGAAACAGTTAAGAGACCAATAGATGATGATTCTAATTCCTCATTAGAAAGTCCTGAAGGCAAATTTTCTCGACCAGAACAACTGTCCTACCAATGTACCTCTTGTTCCTATACAACTGACAAAATCTCCAGTCTCAACCGTCATCGTAGAATCCACAACCGACCTGCCCATAGAACTCCATCTCCTAAACCAATACCAGTAGCTACTTCCTCTGCTGAAACTTATTGTAAAGAATGTAATATACAGTTCAGCTCCATGAACACTTTTAAAGCTCATAAAGAGTTTTATTGTTCCCAGAGATGTTCTCGAGTGAAAAATCTGGAAGTAAGAACTGAAAGACTTTCAGGTGATTCCTCTCCCGCTTCAGTTTCTCCAAAACTGTTGTCACCAAACAGAATGAGGAATCTTTCTCCAAGAAATCATCATCTAATATCTCCACAGAGCTATAAAAGTAATGGTTCTCTCCATGGTGAATCAATCATGTATACACCAGTGGTTGATGCTGATGGTAAGCCTAGCATGGTACCAACAGTTCTTCTTCAACCACTTTTAAAAATTCCTCCTCAACCAGAAGTTCTATCTCCAAAAGTCAAGCCAGCACATCAGCAAGAGACAAAAAGGTCTGATTCTCCAAAATGTCATCCAGAAGAAGATCAACCATTAGATCTATCCACTTCCAAACCACCATCATCCAGCAGCCTTCCAGAACAAAGTCCAGAACCCAAGAGAATAAAGTCAGAGAGATCCTCACCTTGCAGTAGTTCAAAATCAAGTTCTTCACCAAAAACACCTAACCATCTTTTGCCTGGTTTAGCTGCAAATCCATTCTTAGCACAAATGATGCCAAACTTCTTTCCCTTTGCTTTGAATGCTGCTGGAATAGGTGGCTCAGCTCTCTCTGTACCTGGTGTTAGTAGATGTGTGGAATGTAACATTGTTTTTTACAAACATGAAAACTTTCTAATCCACAAACAGCATTATTGTTCTGGCAAGAAAGTCTCACAAACTTCTCCAGTTCTTCCAGAGGCTAAACCTGATTCAAAATCACCTGAACAAGTAGAGTCTAAACCATCCACGAGTTCCGACTCAGAAAAAAGAAACAATCCCATCAGTGAAATTGCTTACAGATTTTTCTGTATACCTTGTAAGATCAAATTCAGTTCTGCCAGTACACTGAAAGCGCATAAGGAATTTTATTGTCCTCATGGCAAAGATTGTGATCTAGTGCCAGAGATCCAATCTCCACCAGCTGACATAATTATAAAACCAGAGATGGATTCTGGAGCTGAAGATGAGGAAGTTGATTTGAGGTGTTCACAATGTGAGAACAAATTTCGATCATTGCGACTCTTAAAACTTCACATTTGCTCCTCAGATAAACACAAAGTGGCATTCTTGCGATGTGCTCATTGTGATTATGTAACACAAACTGAATCCAGAATGGCAGATCACATGAAAGTTCATGTTCCAACTCGGTCCTTCAGGTGCACAATTTGTGGGTATCGTGGAAACACCATTCGTGGAATGAGGATGCATGGCAAAACCCATATAGACAATGGTGAGGAATTCACAGATGATAATATGGTGGAATACAGGGAACCTCCTTTGGTGCCAATAGAATCAAATGGACATGGTATTCCATCACCTTTGGATATGGAAACTGAACTGTTGCGAATAAAAAATGAGCCGTATAAACGAAGACGTTCAAGAAAATCATTTGAAAAAAGTGAAAATATGGGATTACAAGTCCAACAGTGTTCTATTTGTGGTGATACCTTCGCTAACTCAAACTATTTAAGTATTCACATGAAATCACATAGTGCTATGACTTCTTCAAGAACAAAACTTCAATGTGATCAATGTGATTTTATTGGAAAAAGTGTCAAAGACTTGGTGTGTCATCAGAGTGTCCATGATGTCACAAATGACAGTGGCCAAGAAAATACTGACCCAAATTCTAGCCCTTCCCCAATCTCATCACCAAAGCAAATAATTATTAAGGAAGAAAAACTGGATAGAGATTATGATGTGGCTGAAAAGCGACCCCCTTCAGTAGACATCAAACCAATCATTGGACAAAATCATCCAAATAGTAGACCTGCTTCAGAATCTCCCAAAAGTAGATCTTTAGTGAAATCTCCACATGAAGCTGGAGTTCAGATTAGAAATTCAGTGAATGGACTACCTTATCTTGTCATTCCAAATCCTAATTCCCTGTCTCCTAATTTAATACCAACTCCACCAATACCCTTACCCCCATCATCAGATAAATATTGTCATAGCTGTGATATCAGTTTTACCTATCAGGCATCTTTTATAGCTCATAAAAAATATTATTGTACTGCCAAACCAGTGGAAACTCACAGTTCAACAGCTACTGCTTGATCCCTTTGTGGCTTAGGGTTCAATATCTGATTTCAGAATAGGTCAAAATATTAGCCTAGGACTTTCAGCCATAGCCCTGTTTCCATTGTCAGTAATGCAATTCAATTGAACAATTATTTTATGTGTATTAGGGACACTGATAGCATAAATTTGCACTAATCGTAAAATATGCTTTAATTTATTACATAAAGCCTCTCGTAATTAGTGCATTGTCAAACACTTAGTTCCAGTGGTATTTCAGGAACCACAGACATCTGATTACAAATTGAAATAGTGCAAATTGATGCTATCAGTTTTCTGAATACAAAACTGAAGCACATTAATAAATCTTCTACATGTAAAAATCAAAGAATAGGTAGATTAACAGTTCCTGCAAGATTTTCTATTGTTGCCCTCATTACTAGCAAAATTGAGAGCAGAAACATAGAAAGTTAATTATATACCAACTTCGAAATGTCACAGAGTCCCTTTTTACAACATACATGTACTTAATGCAGATTCTGTAGTGGTTAGATAACACTTTTCAAGTTCTCTAATCTGAGAGACAGTTCTTTGGTCATTTGATTAAAATTGTTGGTCTATCATTGACAATTTTACTGTTTGTTAAGATGTAGTATCTCGTTTAAAAGACTAAATACTCTATGAAAATATCTCTTGTAGTCTAAGTTATTATGAGCAGAAGATGTGATGTATTGTATGGGGCATTTACTCTTGCTAATTCCAAATTTGCTGTGGATTTTTTATTACCTTGATGACGATGAAATAAGATACCATTAACTGAAAAATAAGGAGAGCAGTGTGTTGAAAGGAAATTTCTGTGACATAAATTAGTATTAATCATTCCAGAAATGCCAAAATATAAGGAATAAATTAAATTGTGCCATGATGGAGTTTATGATAGTGCCATATATATATGATATGTATTATGTTTGTTGTGTTGAATATGATCATGTGTATATCTTGTTTTGTCTTGTGTGTAAATCAACTAAAAAACTTATGTGAATTTTTTTATCAGAATCGTCTCATATGAATCTCAAGAGACAATCAGATTGAAATTTTAATATATTTTCTGAGGATAATGCAACTTGCCATCTGTAATCTGCTTTCTATGAACTTCTTCACTCTTAAGTAATCAACCAATCAGATTCTGACTCATATAAAGTGAAACAATTACTTGTATTCTTATCCAACATGATTGTCCAGCATAAATGTGGACAATTGCAAATACATTCTTTTGTTGGATCATGGATGGCCTGTGCAGATAAAACGCAAAATGAAGCATGAAATTGCTCTGGTCATCTGGCTGCATGAAAATTGTCCTCCCAAAATTTTTTTTCCAACTGTAGTCTTTAGTAAATGGACTGGAAATAAGTGAACTCCAGACAATTATTGGGGCCCCATGCCATTTGTCTACAGCCACATCTTTCTGACATCTTCTGGAACTGTATATGATAAGACAGCTTAATTTTCTACTGTCCTTTATTCAGATCTTAATAAATAACATAATACTAACAACATCGTTATAACAAAAATAAGTTATAAATAACAAAGCTGTTATAAATAAAACAATATGGACGGAAAAAAATGCATTGAAATGCAGGAATGCTTGAAGTCTTTGATGAAACCAAATTGAAATCATGATTTATGAAGAATAAAATTAGAAGTCATTTAATTTTAATGAAATACTGAAAATCTTCAACTTCAACCCACATTGTGAAGCAAAATTAAAAAATGAAGATATTTATAAAAAGAAAAATTGAAAACAGAAAATTGGTGTAAAATTGTAAGCGTTGATGTATAATACTTGAAACTAAAATACTTATCACTTTTTCTCAATTTTTATTAGTTTTAACTCAATAGATCTGTCTAGGCCAAAATTGATTGAGAAAAAAAACTAAATAGCACTAATAATAAATAAAATACTAAATATCGCCATTAATTTAAAGGCTGTTAAATATATTAGAACCCAGAGACGTGTGCTTCTCAACCTTCATGATCCACCTCTCCACCTGAGAAACAAGTGCAGTTGTCAAAACCCTTCGCTCAGAACCTTGCTAATGGTGTTCTTGAACATACTAGCTATCTAGTATTAGCTTCGATAATTTCAGGCTAAGATCACTGTGTTCAGACTGCCCAGGATTTTGTTGTCAAGATATCTGCTAAAGCCCTAAATGCAAGAGACACAAGATGACAAACAGAGTTTTGTGCATGTACACTCAAAATAGATTGTTTTCGAGGATTCAAAGGAAAATGAACTGGTGAGGTTCAGCTGATGAGTCCCCCCTTTGAATATAATTCACCCCAAATTCCCCCTCTTTGCTAATTTCATACCCCAGAAATTTAATTTCACCCCCGGGACTTCATATGGACTATAATTAAGGTAATTAAGGTAATTCCTAATAAGGAAAAGGAATTATTAGGAAAAGAAATGATAGATACCATACCATACAATTTGAATTTCTAAGCTGATACTGCACAATTTCAGCTATGCGCATCACTAAACAGAATGAAAGCATGATGTAAGGCTTATGTACAATTACATGACAACAAACAACTGTTAACTACAGTTTTCAGTATTCAGTCTAATATCAACATTTTCAACTGTACGAATTAACTAGAGAATTTCATTCATAACTTTCATATCTATCACAAGCAAATCAGACGTCTGAAAAGTGATACACACAGCCAAAAGTGAACTCTTCCAGCTTATAAAGCAAACACGATATTATCTCTATATAGAAGAATTCACAATTGCATACATCAGCATACAGTAGGAGAATTAAATGAAATTGAGATACTATTCCAAATGAGTTTCATAAATAGAGGTATTTTGAGTCATAGTCTTTCTTTAACTCATACAATAGTGTCAAATTAAAAAGTTGTAAGTCTATGAATTGTTTCTCTGTCTGCAGTCTTTAATTTCTTAATTTCAGAATTCATCATCTCTTTGCAATCTGAAATCAAGGAACAAATGATAACAAGTTACTGTACTGGAATTCATTGAGCACTAAAATGTTTTAATTAGTAAAAAGAATACTGAGAAAATAGGTCGTCTTTCTTCATTATTCCAGTCAACCAATTGGCTACCAAGAGTCTTTACAAAGGACCAGCTGCACAAAGAAAGATTTGGGTCTTGAATCTATGTAAATGGTCTTCAGACGTACATTATTCCTTCAAAAATACCTCAAACTAGGAATCAGTCTCAAGAAAAGACAAGTCATCATTTTAACTTTCAAACGCTGATAATTCTGGATTTGAAGGCCCAAATTTTGGCAGAGAGCTATGAACGCTATTACTTATTAGGTAATTACTAAGGCAAGATTGGTCAAAAAATGGTGTTTATTAACAATTTATTGGAAGTGAGAGTTGGACATACAATAGCTCTTGATGTAAACTCACCTAAATTCATAGATTTTTTCATCTTGAGTAAAAAGTCTGTGAAAGTTGATGTCAAGTTAGATTCATCCTGGAATGAGGAAAGCAAATGGTGCATTCATGCGATTTGAACAAGGACATGGTACAATGCAAATACAACAGATCAGTATATACCAGTGCCTCAGCATCTCTAATCCTGAAGTAATACATACATCATCAGCTATCCACTCCAGCTATCCAATTCTGAATGATTTGATGATCCACCCCAACCTGAGTCATTGGCATCCTTGGTTGCCGCTCTCCTATTACCTCAAATCCCAAACATGCTTCATTCATTGTCTTGACTCCTGCTATCCCATCCGAATCTTCAAAATCTTCTGTTGCCCCTTTCCCATTATCTCATCATTTTCACTAATGTCATCCCAACTTAACTCATCGGCATCCTCAGTTACTCTTCTCCTATTATCTCTTATCCCAAAATAATACATACCTCATCATCTTCACTCCAGCTATCCCAATCTGAATCTTCAGCCTGATCTGATGCTCCTCCACCTTTATCTTTGGTGTCTATCGATACACTCAATGTCCGTCTTTTACCAAAACTGGTATTTAAGCTTAAACACTCTGTATACATTGCATTTGCATCAAAATCTAATCAACAGAAAAAAGCAATATGAAAGTAAATGTAGTTAAATAAAAGATAGCTTGCCATGTAAGACAACACTGTTATCAAGATTGTTGTTTATTTTACTATCAATCATGGTTGAAAATAGCCTGCCAGACATGACAACATAGGCCCACCGGCAACAAGAATGATAAAAATAAGAAAACCATTCCAAGAAAATTTCAATATCATGTTAAAAGATTGTTGTAAGTTCAGAATCAATTATGATTCTTTTGGCTAATTTAGTTGACCCAACACCAAAGTAGACCTTACCAAAGAGAAAAAGAAGAGACATATATTGGCCAAGTTAATTGCAATTACCTATCAAACTTCTCTCTTTGCCCATTTCCTTCAGTCATTAACCCTTTAAACATTGGCTGCTACTCTACTGACTATTTAATCATGATAAGCAGCCGTCACCAATGATGCCACAAAATCTAATGCTTTAAGTACTGTAACTAGAGGTTCATGGCATAAGAATGTAAATCACACTCAATGTTTAAATGGAAAACAAAAACAATGCAGAATGTTCCATTTTATTTCTTACCAGAGAAATCATTATTTTCAATTTCTAAACAAGAAATATGACCTTGATATAAAGTTGGTAAAAATTTATCATAACCATTTAATCCTGTACTTTCATATCTAGGTGATATATCACCAGTATAATTCCTTCCCTGAAAATAATAGCAGACACATTTATCTAAGGGAAACAACTCCATTAATGTATGTAAGTTATGTAAATCATTAAGTTATCAAGTCTACCATTGCAAGCAATATAAGACAATATGATGTATTCAAAGGATTGTAAAATGGTTTTCAAAAATTTGTATGTATATCGTAGACACTGATAGCATTAATTTGCACCATTCCAATTTTTAATTTTCCTTCAATTCCACAATAAGGAAGTGTTCGACCACATCACTAATCGAAAATATGTTTTATCAGGGAAGGCCCTGCATGATATTAGTGACATCATCAAACACATAGTTTTTGTTGGAATTGCAAGAACCACACATCTGATTGAAGATTGAAACAGTGCAAATATTGCTATCAGATACACATAAAAATTTTTAAAAATATGTTTACAATCCTTTTAAGGAAAGAGTTGTCTACTAGCTTTATAATATCAAGGTACTATAGACATTCTTCCTGAAAGTTATTTGCAATTATGAAAGCATTTTCAATGCCAAGCTATTACAGCTTGACATTATGCAGATGTTATGAAAGAGATAACAATCCAAATCACCGGGGTACATGGTGAAATGTTGCAAGAAAGATTAATTGCATAGAGAAATTTCTCTTGAATAAATTTTTTTTACATCAAACCATTAACCAATGTTTTAAATATAACTCACTATCAATTTTCTACTATTATTAGGTATGATTACTGAGTAGTGTTCTTTAATCATATCATTAAACTGAGTAGTTTTAAATAAAACTCACTATCAGTTTTCTACTATTATTAGGTATGATTACTGAGTAGTGTTCTTTAATCAAATTATTAAACTGAGTAGTTTTAAATAAAACTCACTATCAATTTTCTACTATTATTAGGTATGATTACTGAGTAGTGTTCTTTAATCAAATTATTAAACTGAGTAGTTTTAAATAAAACTCACTATCTATTTTCTACCATTATTAGGTATGATTACTGAGTAGTGTTCTTTAATCATATAATTAAACTGAGTAGTTTTAAATACAACTCACTATCTATTTTCTACTATTATTAGGTATGATTACTGAGTAGTGTTCTTTAATCATATAATTAAACTGAGTAGTTTTAAATACAACTCACTATCAATTTTCTACTATTATTAGGTATGATTACTGAGTAGTGTTCTTTAATCATATAATTAAACTGAGTAGTATTAAATGCAACTCACTATAAATTTTCTACTATTATTAGGTATGATTATTGAGTAGTGTTCTTTAATCATATAATTAAATTGAGTAGTTTTAAATACAACTCACACTCAATTTTCTATTATTATTAGGTATGATTACTGAGTAGTGTTCTTTAATCACATCATTAAACTGAGTAGTATTAAATGCAACTCACTATAAATTTTCTACTATTATAAGGTATGATTACTGAGTAGTGTTCTTTAATCAAATCATCAAACTGAGTAGCGTTCTTTAATCATATGATTAAACTGGGTAGTTTTAAATACAACTCACTGTCTATTTTCTACTATTATTAGGTATGATTACTGAGTAGTGTTCTTTAATCCTATCATTAAACTGAGTTGTTTTAAACACAACTCTCTGTCAGTTTTCTACTATTATTAGGTATGATTACTGAGTAGTGTTCTTTAATCATATAATTAAACTGGGTAGTTTTAAATACAACTCACTATCTATTTTCTACTATTATTAGGTATGATTACTGAGTAGTGTTCTTTAATCAAATCATTAAACTGAGTTGTTTTAAACACAACTCTCTGTCAGTTTTCTACTATTATTAGGTATGATTACTGAGTAGTGTTCTTTAATCATATAATTAAACTGGGTAGTTTTAAATACAACTCACTATCTATTTTCTAATATTATTAGATATGATTACTGAGTAGTGTTCTTTAATCATATAATTAAACTGAGTAGTATTAAATGCAACTCACTATAAATTTTCTACTATTATTAGGTATGATTACTGAGTAGTGTTCTTTAATCATATTATTAAACTGAGTAGTTTTAAATAAAACTCACTATCAATTTTCTACTATTATTATGTATGATTACTGAGTCGTGTTCTTTAATCCTATCATTAAACTGGGTAGTTTTAAATAAAACTCGCTATAAATTTTCTACTATTATTAAGTATGATTACTGAGTAGTGTTCTTTAATCATATAATTAAACTGGGTAGTTTTAAATAAAACTCACTATCAATTTTCTACTATCATTAGGTATGATTACTGAGTAGTGTTCTTTAATCATATAATTTAACTGAGTAGTTTTAAATAAAACTCGCTATAAATTTTCTACTATTATTAGGTATGATTACTGAGTAGTGTTCTTTAATCATATAATTAAACTGGGTAGTTTTAAATAAAACTCACTATCTATTTTCTACTATTATTAGGTATGATTACTGAGTAGTGTTCTTTAATCATATAATTAAACTGGGTAGTTTTAAATAAAACTCACTATCAATTTTCTACTATCATTAGGTATGATTACTGAGTAGTGTTCTTTAATCATATAATTTAACTGAGTAGTTTTAAATAAAACTCGCTATAAATTTTCTACTATTATTAGGTATGATTACTGAGTAGTGTTCTTTAATCATATAATTAAACTGGGTAGTTTTAAATAAAACTCACTATCTATTTTCTACTATTCTTAGGTATGATTACTGAGTAGTGTTCTTTAATCATATAATTAAACTGAGTAGTTTTAAATAAAACTCACTATAAATTTTCTACTATTATTAGGTATGATTACTGAGTAGTGTTCTTTAATCATATAATAAAACTGAGTAGTTTTAAATAAAACTCACTATAAATTTTCTACTATTATTAGGTATGATTACAGAGTAGTGTTCTTTCATCAAATCATTTAACTCACTATCACTACTATTTTAAGATTACCAAGTAATGTTCTTTAATAATACAAATATCAATTTATTGAAGGAGATATAATGGTATACATGAAGGAAATCAATAACAAGACAAGAACTCTTTATATCAAATTTCTTCAGTTTGTGAACACTGTGTAAGCATTAAGCACAGTAAATATTGCTTACCTTATTGAGTCTAGAACAAATTGCTTTAAATAAACTGGGAAGATGTTTGTTGGGGTTAATAGGTCTACACAACACTAGATATATAGATAATATCTTTTCTAAAAGTGCTGTATCAAATGTCTGAAATCACAAATAAAAAAGTTTTAGATCCTATCCAAACTGTGCTTTTTCCCTTAATTTTAGGGATATCTCAGTGTCTGTAGCAAAAATCTCAAATGATTCACTAAAGGCTATTCTGTGAACCATAGAGGATAATTGTAACTGTTATTGTTACAAAATGAATAATATTCTTACACATACTGGTATAAAGCTACCATTTCCAAAACTTTTACATGCGTCTAAAGTAAGTTCAGTGTACCCACCTTGATAGCTATAATAGCTGAAAATTCTTTCAGGGTATAATATAGACATTTTAAATAGAGTGGTTTCCTGTCAGTAGATATTCTTCTTTTCAATACAGGATCCACAATAACAACACTTAACTTAAGTAAACTGAAAACAAAACCAGTGCTTTGTATGGATTTTCAGGCACTCTAATAAATGTATACCTTTTTTCTTAGACTCACATCTCTACATTTGATTAGGCTAATGACGTAAGAAATGCCATGCAGTGGGCAATGGCAGATACTCTTCCTGGACAGATGTATTAACTATAATTTATGTTCAACTTTCAAGGGAATGTGCATTTTCTGCAGCAAACAGGGCCTTATCTTAGAGACCCACTTGAGAATCTATACACAAAATATACACTGTATCCCTTCCGAATGGGAAACTAAATTGAAAAATTCAGAGGGTCTTATTACGGTCTGGAGCTCTGATGTAGGTATTTCATCCATTTTCACAACAAAAAGCATTTTAACTGTGTCAGAACTTCAATCACTAGCAAGAGGAAATGACTTACCAGTGAACCAGTTCTTTACTAACTATAGAATCATCAGCAAACAAACCAATATAATGTGTTATAATAGGTAGATATCTTGGTTGATATGTGTTACTGAGATATAGTGTTAAGTGTTCATACACAGCTAATACTAAACACTTCTCTACTTGTCTAGCACATAATATATCACTTTCTGGTTCCACTAAACAACAACTGAAACACGAATGATTAACATAGACCCAAAAACCCTTTAATGTATTTTGGAACCGCTTGTATAATATCTGGTAATGCCTTGAAAGGCTTATTAAAGGGATTGTAATGAGGTATTTAAATTTTTTTTGTGTTTTAGGGACACTGACAGCATCAATTTGCGCTGTTCCTATTTTAAGTCAGACGTCTGTGGTTCCTGCAATTTCACTAAAATAAAGTGTTTGATAATGTCACTAATCGCAAAATATACTTTATCACATAAGGGTGCAAAATCTGTCCCTTTAATGCAGAAATTGAGTCACATGAGCCGGTTGACAATTGTTAAAACATAATTAACTCTAATTTTCTTTTCAAAAACATAAGTCAAAAGTGATATAAAGTAACAAACCTAAGATATCCTGTATAAGGTGATGAAAATATTGGTATAGTTTTCTTCTGTAGTACATGACAGATCTGACTGGTAGGATGAGCAAATTGAAACAAAGTTTGCCAGAAGTTGAAAAAACTTTCACCAACTGATATTTTCTAGAAAATAATATAGTAAGATTATTTATGTTACAATGAAAGAAAAAAACAACCATTTTTTACACGGTTAACAACTTTCACTAAGATCTTGTCTACCAATTGGTCATTTGGCAAACCATCTTTTCCAATTTATCCATAATCCTTTAAAGCTTGAACGATTGGAATAATGAAGAAAGATAATTTATTCAAGATCACTGAACTTGCACACGCATGTATTTACTACTTGAGAAAGTCGCATAAATGGAAAAAATTGTCAACACCAATTTTCACAAATTCTACAACCTTAAAATGCGAAAATAGCAGGAACTTGAAATGTGATTCTTCTTTGTAGATGATGTGCAAAGATGTTCAACAAAAATTGTGCTTGGAATTGGAATATAGAAATATATCAACACCACTAACACCCTCGTTCATCTTAGTTATAAAGTTGTGAATATTGCATGGACAGTCTCAACTTTTCTGCACAAGTTTCATATTTGCAAGCAAGTAGTTATCACTTTTTTCACTGCAGGTATCAAACGCAGCATTATCAACAACTATCTGATCAGGGTTTGAGTCATTAAGAACTTCCAGGAATTTACCTTATTGTCAGGAATATTAAAGTGATTAACCAGTATAATTATAATCTCTACAGCTAATAATGACAATCTATCAAATGATGTTCTGTACAATATTATCTCTACAGTAGATAGGTAATAATCACTCTCTTGTTTTAAAGATTGCAGTAGGTTGTCTATGGTTTCACAGCATACTAATTCATCCTACAATACAATAAACAATGGTGGATAGAAGCTTTAATTTGAGTAGCTTGAGGTACAGCCTAACTACAATATTTGAGTTGAGACTCCTGTATAGTATATATGACCAACTTAGAAGCTTGGGTTCAAAACCTAACTTTTTGGAGAGATAAACACGAGTTAACATGGCTGAAAGGATTGTCTACATATGGTTTAAAAGTGCCACCATATTGGCTACACTCAATCTTATTTGACTATTACACTCACTCAAACATGCGCAAGATAATTACTTCATTTTTGTATTAACTCTGCGCTATAAATTCAAAATATTGATAATTTATTATAAATTTCATAATCGATAAATGTATATGTAAGGCCAGTCATCCACTACTTGTAATAATCTCTTCTACAAAGTTTTCCTGCATCACATTCAGAATAAAATACGTTGAGACTAACCTTCCACGATTTTGGTGGATCTTTCAGCAGTGGTAACAGTCTGACACAGTGTTCTAATGATTCTTTTAATAGAAATGATGCCATATATACCATAGTTGGATTGTTAGAGGCTAAATTATCTTTGATGATAGATTTATTCAAATCTATATCATACCACCTTATTACTTCACTTAGTAATGGTAACACCTGCAAAATACCATAAAATCACAATTATTCACTTAGTTATGGTAACACCTGCAAAATACTACAGAATTACTTAATAATGGTAACACCTGAAAAATACCATAAAATACAACATAATCACTTAGTAATGGTAACACCTGCAAAATACCGTAAAATCACAATTATGCAAAATACCGTAAAATCACAATTATTCACTTAGTTATGGTAACACCTGCAAAATACCGTAAAATCACAATTATTCACTTAGTTATGGTAACACCTGCAAAATACAACAGGATTACTTAATAATGGTAACACCTGAAAAATACAACAGGATTACTTAATAATGGTAACACCTGAAAAATACCATAAAATACAACATAATCACTTAGTAATGGTAACACCTGCAAAATACCGTAAAATCACAATTATTCACTTAGTTATGGTAACACCTGCAAAATACAACAGGATTACTTAATAATGGTAACACCTGAAAAATATCATAAAATACGACATAATCACTTAGTAATGGTAACACTTGCAAAATACGACACAATCGCTTAATAATCGTAACACCTGCATAATACCATAAAATCACAACTATTTACTTAGTATGGTAACACCTGCAAATACATCATTACAATTATTCACTTAATAATGCTTACACCTGGAAAAAAAAACAGCATCACAATTATTTACTTAGTAACGGCAACTTCTGCAAATACAGCATAATCACATTTACTTACTTAGTAACGGTAACACCTGCAAAAACAACATAATCACATCTTTTTTTACATAGTAACAGTAACACCTGAAAAACAACATAATCACAGTTATTTACTTTCACTTGGTAATAGTAACACATGAAAATAAAACATAATTACAATAATGCGCTTAGCAATGGTAACACCTTGAAAATACAACAAATCACAATGTTCACATGGTAATGGTTACACCTAAAAAACACAATAAATCACAATTATTGATGGCAACGCCAGATAATATAATGAAATAAAATGTCAGTTTTCATATCTCACTCTTTTGCTCCTGTTGAAGGCTAAAAAACCTACGCTTTTTTTATATTTATGTATATTTCTCTGATCTGTATGATGGACAAAGTAATGGTAACTATAATAATATATACTCTTACTTGTTGTGCTATTCTTTTCAACTCCCACTGATTATCTAAAAGACATTCTAGAGTTTGATATAATATAGTATGCAGTAAGTCTTGACAATGTTGTATTTTAACTGTCTTTAACCAAGATATATCTCTGCAAAATCAAAAGGGTAGTTACACTACATATTCTTTAAACTCTTATAGTGGCCATTTACCACTTTGGAACATAACAAACAATTGAATAATTGACAGGTACTAGTTAATCAAAGCAATCACACATCATTTAGTTTAAAGGGACAGATGTGCCATTTTGGGAGATTGATTGAGACTTGAGTCTTTAAAGAGACAGGGTCGCCATCTGTTGGACCAATCATGTTGCAGAAATTGGATTCTCTAATTAAGCTAATCAGTAATAATGTCCACAGCTCACCATCGAAATTTGAGCCATGCGTGTCCAGAATTATCTGCCTTTGAAAGACATGTCTTTTCTTGAGACACTGTCATATATAGAAAAGACACATATAGAAAGTGAAATTCATAGTTTAAGGTATTTTTGAAGGAATTATGCGATTTCTGTACAATACATTTCTAGTACTTCTGAAAAGTATTTACATATATATTCAAGACCAAAATTAACCCCTCAAAATGGCAAATCTGTCCCATATTTTCACATAACAGCAACCATGATCCACATTCATTTCTAATTCTAATACTAATACTTACTCAATGTATTGTGTATTTTTATCAGAATTATGTCTTCTACATTGTTCCATAAATAACCAACCAAAATCTTTAATAGAGTCTTCAAACTGTAATTAAATACAATGTTTAACATATATCCAACTGGATGAATGATCGAAAAATGCAAAAATAATGAATGAAAAACTGATGATAAAAAGACATTTAAAAATTTCAATGGGCGGGTCACATAAAGTTAAAAATTTGTAGAATAATTTTTTTTTCACCAACCAATGTTAGCAAAGTTATTTCCATTCCTTATAATTTTTTGATTTTATACTATTGTTATTGCTTTATGTAATTAACATTGCTTTATGTTATTGACATTGCTTTATGCCATTAACATTGCATTATGTTATTTACATTGCTTTATGTTATTACCATTGCTTTATGTTATTAACATTGCTTTATGTTACTAACATTGCTTTATGTTATTAACATTGCTTTATGTTACTAACATTGCTTTATGTTATTGACATTGCTTTATGTTATTAACATTGCTTTATGTAATTAACATTGATTTATGTTATTAACATTGCTTTATGTAATTAACATTGCTTCATGTTACTAACATTGCTTTATGTAATTAACATTGCATTATGTTATTTACATTGCTTTATGCCATTAACATTGCTTTATGTAATTAACATTGCATTATGTTATTTACATTGCTTTATGTTATCTACATTGCTTTATGTTATTACCATTGCTTTATGTTACTAACATTGCTTTATGTTATTAACATTGCTTTATGTAATTAACATTGCTTTATGTTATTAACATTGCTTTATGTTATTAACATTGCTTTATGTTATTAACATTGCTTTATGTAATTAACATTGCTTTATGTTATTAACATTGCTTTATGTTATTAACATTGCTTTATGTCATTAACATTGCTTTATGTCATTAACATTGCTTTATGTTACTAACATTGCTTTATGTTACTAACATTGCTTTATGTTATTGACATTGCTTTATGTTATTAACATTGCTTTATGTTATTGACATTGCTTTATGTTATTGACATTGCTTTATGTTATTGACATTGCTTTATGTTATTGACATTGCTTTATGTTATTGACATTGCTTTATGTTATTGACATTGCTTTATGTAATTAACATTGCTTTATGTTATTAACATTGCTTTATGTTATTAACATTGCTTTATGTTATTAACATTGCTTTATGTAATTAACATTGCTTTATGTTATTAACATTGCTTTATGTTACTAACATTGCTTTATGTAATTAACATTGCTTTATGTCATTAACATTGCTTTATGTTACTAACATTGCTTTATGTTACTAACATTGCTTTATGTTATTAACATTGCTTTATGTTATTAACATTGCTTTATGTTACTAACATTGCTTTATGTTATTAACATTGCTTTATGTTATTAACATTGCTTTATGTTATTAACATTGCTTTATGTTATTAACATTGCTTTATGTTATTAACATTGCTTTATGTTACTAACATTGCTTTATGTTATTAACATTGCTTTATGTTATTAACATTGCTTTATGTTATTGACATTGCTTTATGTTACTAACATTGCTTTATGTTATTAACATTGCTTTATGTTACTAACATTGCTTTATGTTATTAACATTGCTTTATGTTACTAACATTGCTTTATGTTACTAACATTGCTTTATGTTATTAACATTGCTTTATGTTATTAACATTGCTTTATGTTACTAACATTGCTTTATGTTATTAACATTGCTTTATATTATTAACATTGCTTTATGTTATTACCATTGCTTTATGTTATTAACATTGCTTTATGTTATTACCATTGCTTTATGTTATTAACATTGCTTTATGTTACTAACATTGCTTTATGTTACTAACATTGCTTTATGTTATTGACATTGCTTTATGTTATTAACATTGCTTTATGTTATTAAAATTGCTTTATGTTATTAACATTGCTTTATGTTACTAACATTGCTTTATGTTATTAACATTGCTTTATGTTACTAACATTGATTAATGTTACTAACATTGCTTTATGTTATTGACATTGCTTTATGCCATTGACATTGCTTTATGTTATTGACATTGCTTTAGGCCATTAACATTGCTTTATGTTATTGACATTGCTTTAGGCCATTAACATTGCTTTATGTTATTAACATTGCTTTATGTCACTAACATTGCTTTATGTTATTAACATTGCTGTATGTTACTAACATTGCTTTATGTTATTAACATTGTTTTATGTTATTTACATTGCTTTATGTTACTAACATTGCTTTATGTTATTAACATTGCTTTATGTTACTAACATTGCTTTATGTTATTGACATTGCTTTATGTTACTAACATTGCTTTATGTTATTAACATTGCTTTATGTTACTAATATTGCTTTATGTTACTAACATTGCTTTATGTTATTGACATTGCTTTATGCCATTGACATTGCTTTATGTTATTAACATTGCTTTATGCCATTAACATCACTTTATGCCATTAACATCACTTTATGCCATTAACATCACTTTATGCCATTAACTTCGCTTTATGCCTTGTTTTATGTTATAGGATGCCATGACATTTGTTTATGTGACTCATGAATACATACATTGGCCTATGATACGAATTCATATCATTCCAAAGCCATTTTATGAACTGACAAACAGTGCTGTTGTGTGATAAAACTATTTTAGCTACAGACTTGGAACAGTTTTTCACAGTATGGAGCAAAAGATGTGTAGTCTGTAGTAACTATAGAAAATTTATTTCAATATGGCTGCTGTGACTCTATCCTGTGGAGAGAAATAAATGTGATGCCTACCTGAAGTGTAAACCTATCATATAAATATGTCTGATGTAATAAAGATTTCCCAGCTAGCTCTGATAATATCTCACTCCAGATTGGCGATGTACTGGCTATCTTCTCTAGTTCTTCTTTATTTATAACACTACCATAAATCAAAATGTTACAAACTTAAGGGATTGTAAAGAGGTTTTATAAAATTTGTATTTGTATCTCGGACACTGATAGAATCAATTTCAACCATTCTAATTTTCAGTCAGTTGTCTGTCGTTCCTGAAATTCCACTAAAACTAAATGTTTTGTGGCGCTTTTTGTCCCCATCGCAAAGGGCATTATGTGATTATGCAGATTTTGTGATACTGATGTCACAAAACACCATTAATTTTACCCTGTAAATACGATAATCACAATAGTTTTGGAACTTGGTATAAATAACAGTCATTGATAATATCTAATCATTTCCAACAAAGGATACTTTCATCTTAATGACAAGATAAACCGGTTTCTACTTACCTAGTAGATAAAGCTGATGTTGATAATCTGCGTATTTCACCATGTTTTGTGGGTTGTAAAGGACCAAATGTCATCAACCAATGATTCTTAACTAAATATTCACAGATCAACTCGTACACAAATAATCTCCCCTCTTTACACTCCCATGTCTTTACTCTACTGCAGTTATCTACAGAATAAATACCAACAATGTCCTTCATAAATGGCAGTATATAATAAGACAGTATATCCTAGTTCACAAGGACATTAACCATTAGAATTTGTGCAAGTGTCAAAGTGTCTTTAGTATACCTTTATATACAGGAATCATTTCGAGTTCCCCAAAACCCAATTGAATCAATATCTTACCTTCTTGGTATGTAGTAGTACCACAACTTGATGACCAATCTAAAACCAAATTACCAATTATAGATTTGAACAATACTGGATTACTACCACATTTACATACTGCAAATATCAATTGTGTACTTAAAAAATCTACTCCAGAAAAAAAATGACTAAAATTCATTAACCTGTAAAATATTCCTTAAACATATTGGAGACCTAAGCTTTTGTCTGTGCCTTTTCCATTTTCCTCTTCTAATATTATTAGTGATCGTGACATTTTTATTTAAGTGAACAGAAATTATCAAGTTACAAATAGAAGCAAAGAGTCAATTATACAAATGCAAAGGCTTAAACAAATCTTTCCTTTCCCTTCAAGTAATTGAAAATGAATATAATGACTATTTCTGTCATTCTAAAGACATTAGGTCAAAATCTGTAATAATAAAAAGCTCATGGATGTCCTTTCAAACTAACCTAATTGTTTAAATACAAGACTAGTAGTTTGTCGCACTGTAGACGCTTCATGTGATAAATAAGATATAAACACTGTTAGATATGATAACCATTCTGACAACAGACATGATAATGGTAACACCTGAAATAATAACATGATAATGGTAACACCTATAATAATAACATGATAATGGTAACACCTGAAATAATAACATGATAATGGTAACACCTGTAATAATAACAAGATAATGGTAACACCTGAAATAATAACATGATAATGGTAACACCTAAAACAATAGCAAGATAAAGCTAACTCCTGAAACAATAACATGATACTGAAAACACCTAAAACAATAACATGATACTGAAAACACCTAAAACAATAACATGATACTGAAAACACCTGAAATGATAACATGATACTGAAAACACCTGAAACAATAACATGATACTGATAACACCTGAAACAATAACATGATACTGATAACACCTGAAACAATAACATGATACTGATAACACCTAAAACAATAACATGATACTGATAAAACTTAAAACAATAATATGATAATGGTAAAACTTTAAACAATAACATGATAATGGTAAAACTTAAAACAATAACATGATAATGGTAAAACTTAAAACAATAATATGATAATGGTAAAACTTAAAACAATAACATGATAATGGTAAAACTTAAAACAATAACATGATAATGGTAAAACTTAAAACAAGAGGTTTTCTTAATTTTTCATTTGTATCAAGGCTCCTGCAATTCCACTAAAACTAAGTGATTGATTACATCACCAATCACAAAATATGCCTTTTGCTATTAGTGACGTCATCTAACACTTAGTTTTAGAAAACCTCTTTCATTCAAGAAATCAAAATCTTTTTAAAGATTCAAATATAAAGAAATTACCTTTATTATTGAAGAGCATATCTTTAACAATCCTTCAGCTTTATATGCTTCAACTAAACTATCAGTGCTGATCTGTAGGAAAATATAGCATATCATTTGAACAATGGTCAAGACTAGTTTTTGACATAGAAAAAAAGATCTTGTCGATAATAAATCTTTAAGGTCTTCCTAAAAACTTGGTAGATTGGTAAATAACATACCTCTAGTTGATGAGTACTTGGTTTATAACCAAGTAAAGTGATAACTTGATGTAAAGTAGAAGTAACAGTATGAGTATTACAACTTGTGATATAAACAGTTAAAGCTTTCACAGTTGTTTCACGTATACTTAGTTGAGGATGACATATTAGCTGAAAGATTGTGGGTAATATCCTCTGCCCAATAGATTCAGGAATACACTGGAATAATAGAATACAAACACATTTTCAAAAAATTATTACCAAATTAACTCGTCTAAATCTGAACCTATATGGCCTTACACTAGGGTTGCAATTACTGATGAACCATGATTCCATTCACATATTCAATTGTGAAGTATCAACATTTTTAGATAAATTAGAATTTTGTAGAAAATTCAACATGACTTTTTCCATTCATGACATTATCATCAATACTTGTCATAATGTCATGAAATATTTTTCTTTGCTTTATACTTTTCTGTTATATTAATATTTACCTTAGAATCTGAGACATATTGATTTAATATCACAGTTATACCTGAAATTATACATTAGCATTGTTATATTAATCTAATATCACAGTTATACCTGAAATTATACAATGGCATTGTTATATTGATTTAATATCACAGTTATACCTAAAATTATACATTAGCATTGTTATATTAATCTAATATCACAGTTATACCTGAAATTATACAAGGGCATTGTTATATTAATCTAATATTACAGTTATACCTGAAATTATACAATGGCATTGTTATATTAATCTAATATTACAGTTATACAACTTACTATACTATTATTAGGTATGATTACTGAGTAGTGTTCTTCAATCAAATCGTTTAATTGAGTAGTTTTAAATACAACTCACTATCAGTTTTCTACTATTATTAGGTATGATTACTGAGTAGTGTTCTTTAATCAAATAATTAAACTGAGTAGTTTTAAATACAACTCACTATCTATTTTCTACTATTATAAGATATGATTACTGAGTAGTGTTCTTCAATCAAATCATTTAATTGAGTAGTTTTAAATACAACTCACTATCAGTTTTCTACTATTATTAGGTATGATTACTGAGTAGTGTTCTTTAATCAAATAATTAAATTGAGTAGTTTTAAATACAACTCACTATCTATTTTCTACTATTATTAGATATGATTACTGAGTAGTGTTCTTTAATCAAATAATTAAACTGAGTAGTTTTAAATACAACTCACTATCTATTTTCTACTATTATTAGATATGATTACTGAGTAGTGTTCTTTAATCAAATAATTAAACTGAGTAGTTTTAAATACAACTCACTACCTATTTTCTACTATTATTAGTTATGATTACTGAGTAGTGTTCTTCAATCAAATCATTTAATTGAGTAGTTTTAAATACAACTCACTATCAGTTTTCTACTATTATTAGGTATGATTACTGAGTAGTGTTCTTTAATCAAATAATTAAATTGAGTAGTTTTATATACAACTCACTATCTATTTTCTACTATTATTAGATATGATTACTGAGTAGTGTTCTTCAATCAAATCATTTAATTGAGTAGTTTTAAATACAACTCACTATCTATTTTCTACTATTATTAGGTATGATTACTGAGTCGTGTTCTTTAATCATATCATTAAATTGAGTAGTTTTAAATAAAACTCACTATTAATTTCCTACTATTATTAGGTATGATTACTGAGTAGTGTTCTTTAATCATATTATTAAATTGAGTAGTTTTAAATACAACTCTCTACCAATTTTCTACTATTATTAGGTATGATTACTGAGTAGTGTTCTTTAATCATATCATTAAACTGAGTAGTTTTAAATACAACTCACTATCTATTTTCTACTATTATTAGGTATGATTACTGAGTAGTGTTTTTTAATCATATTATTAAATTGAGTAGTTTTACATACAACTCACTATTAATTTTCTACTATTATTAGGTATGATTACTGAGTAGTGTTCTTTAATCATATAATTAAACTGAGTAGTTTTAAATAAAACTCACTATCAAATTTCTATTATTATTAGATATGATTACTGAGTAGTGTTCTTTAATCATATCATTTAATTGAGTAGTTTTAAATATAACTCACTATCTATTTTCTACTATTATTAGATATGATTACTGAGTAGTGTTCTTTAATCAAATTATTAAATTGAGTAGTTTTAAATACAACTCACTATCAATTTTCTACTATTATTAGGTATGATTACTGAGTAGTGTTCTTTAATCATATCATTTAATTGAGTAGTTTTAAATATAACTCACTATCTATTTTCTACCATTATTAGGTATGATTACTGAGTAGTGTTCTTTAATCATATCATTAAACTGAGTAGTTTTAAATAAAACTCACTATCTATTTTCTATTATTATTAGATATGATTACTGAGTAGTGTTCTTTAATCATATCATTTAATTGAGTAGTTTTAAATATAACTCACTATCTATTTTCTACCATTATTAGGTATGATTACTGAGTAGTGTTCTTTAATCATATCATTAAACTGAGTAGTTTTGAACACAACTCTGTCAGTTTTCTACTATTATTATGTTTGATTATTGAGTAATGATGAGGATTGAGTATAAGAATATTTCAAATACAATTCATACATTCAGAGAACTATATTCTTACCTAATATTGCACCATTGATGGGTTGCCATTCACTCTCATTATCACAGCATATCTATAATAAAATAATATTGATAAATATCCTTTGTAATAATTTTTTAATCTGTCTTTGTCCTGAAGGAGTTCAGCAAATTTACATACTTAAAACTGGCATTCCATCTTGAATTGGTAAGGGACATTCTGGACAGAGTATTTAGAACCTACAACTCTCCACTTTCAGAGGTATGTATGTGAAAAAAATTAATGCTGATTGGTTCATTAACAATGATGGTCCAATCAGAATCACTACTCACTTGAAAAAAAAAATGACACTTTTGTAAAGTATGGGCACATAAATTACGTGAAGAAATTTGAATACACATACCTGCACAAGTTGTCTAAATAATAATTCTGTATGTGTGTCATCTAAAAACTTGACAATAACACCCAGTCTTGAACAACTTGTCTTTCTTATGGCAGACCATACATCAGTAATAAACAGCACTAAAATCTCCTGTAAACACAAAAAATCTATAAGGGCACCCTATTCTCTATACAACCCCTTTATAGCTTTCAATGAAAGTAGGCTATTTTAAATGCATTTAAGAACTAATCGAAGGTCACCATAGTGATGTCAGAACAACAATCATTGTCATTTAAGTAAGCAAATGGCATATAAAATTAACTAACTCATCTTCACAATGGTTAAGGTATTACAAATTTGTCTTATAACATGACTGCAATAGCCACTGTTTCTGTACCACGGAATACAAGCATTTAATTGTATTATACACCAACGAAAGCAGCCAATCAGAGCCCCAGACAGAAAAACTGTAAACATTATGGCTTATTATCTAGTCTGTCTGTCAAGGTCTAACTGTCTGTATTCACTAGAATACAATCTAATCAAATCACTGCATTAACATCCACATTGGTACAAGAAAAGGAGGCTAATGTAGTCAAGGTATAAGATGAAGTTCTTAATACCTTGACGATTGTGAAGATGTAACTGACCAAGCTACATAATATCCATAATTAACAAAATTATCTCTTACCAATATATAAGGAAATAAATGAGATGAGTTGATATAAGTATCAGAATTAGACAACCATAGCATAATATGTCCTGCTAATTGACTTCTAACAACTGGTAAACAGTTCACTGTAAACAAATTGGAAACTGTTATTTACATCAGGTGAAAGATAGTATTTTGAAATAAGATTTGAACAGCATTTAGAAGCGAGGAGCACCTTTATAACACAAGACAATAATTATGGGATAAAACAAAGTATTAAATAAGTGTGTTTTATCTCATAATTATTGTCTTGTGTTATATAGTATTTTGAAGTCAAACACAAATGAACATCAAGTCATACTAACACATAAATTTCAAAAAATATTGTTAAGATTAAGATAATGTAGTAGCCTTCAAATCTGCTTTCCTTCCTGCTAAAGTTGAATTTAATTTTTTCAGAAAGAAAATCAGAAACTCAGCTCATAGGACATTTAAGCAAATTTTACCAAAAGGAGTTACAACAAAAACTTAAAGACCATGCTTTGTCATTTTTAAGTGTTGATTTGGGTCTTGAATATATGTAAAAAGTCTTCAATTTTTGATGCTCATGGATTTAAAGACTCATATTTCGAAAAGTATTACTGATTAGCTTAGCCAACTGATTTCCGTTTCAGAGAATAAGGTTTGGTTGGTCAAACGGATGGTCAACCTCTCCCTATAAGGCAATAAACAACAAATTACCATGATTATACAATCTTTTATAAGACTTGAGAGATTCTTCTGTTAATTTTTCTTTGGATAAACTGAAAGAAAATGAAGAAAAAAATGGTAGCAGCTATCTCTTTTTATAATTATGGCTGTCAAAAAGTCTCTACTCCATACCTTACATGTGATATCCAACAAGACCAGACATTTTTGTCAATTTTGGAGACATTTTTTTAGAACATCTAACCTCGAGCTAAATGCTCTCCAAAATATTGGAACCTCTAGAAAAGACAAGTCCTCTACGATGTAACTTTCAAATGTGAATATCATCAAATGAAGTAATTACCATGACAGGATTTGATCTAATGGACCACATAATTCTGACTGGTTTAAGGCACCATCTTTCACTGATTCCTGACAATTCTTTGCTTCCATCCATTTAAATCTTCTTAAAAATATATAACGTAAAAATTCAAATTGTAGAAGGTCAGGTGTGATCTTTGATGAATCAAGGGAAGATCTGCAATTTTGGTTTGCAAGTAATTCACACAATTTATTTAAAGCTTCAAGTTCTTGTGACGCAGTTAGATTTTCATCAGATGTCAACTTTTCAATATAAAATTTTTTCTCATCTTCTGCTTCTTCCATTTTTAGCACCTGCAAAATAAATTCAATCCATTCATCAAGAACCAAAAGTGAAAGACATCATAATGACATTGGCTTCATGATAATCCTTGCTTAAATGATGACATCAAAATGTTGAGCTGGACACTGAAGATGGATTAATTAATAAACAACAATTCCAAATTAGCTCTGACATCTGTAGGTATGTTGTTCTCCATTGGTTTAAAAGGAACCTTCGTGTAAAGGGATTGTGAAAGGGATTGAAATTTCAAAATTTTACATGTGTATTTTAGAGTGGAGTAGGCTATGACTACGAGTAGTAAAGGAGTGTAGACCAACTACTAAAAAAAACATTAATATCAACAAGGCCAAGGGATATCAAGGAAAAAATGCGATATCATGGTCATATTAAATAAGTTTAGAATATAATAAACACAAATGCAAACCTTCAAAAACATTTGCCTCTTTTAATGCATAAGACAATCTTCTGCAACCAAATTATTCATAATTCTCCTATTTACAGCAGGTGCGAGAAAGTTTCCTGACAAATATTTGTTTACATTATGACGTCATATCTTCTACGATAGCTTCGCACTCAACTCCTCAACTGTGTAACGCATCAAAAATCGTAAAGTAAAATATAATTTTAGATAGATCTATTGTTCTTTTGAAATAAATATTGTTTGAGGATTCTATATATTTTTAGTTTGTTGTGTTGACGTATGATTTAAGTAACAATACTATGAAGCGTACTGGGTGACACGAACTGACTAAGAACACTCTAGAACACAATAGTGTTATTACATCTCGAACGCTCTTAAATCTTTCATGTTCGAACACCAGGGGCTAATTTCCAGAAACAAACATGGCGAGCAATACTATCGGTGGGTATAGAGGTATTTTAAAACATTTTTTTCATGTTGTTATTCTTATTTTTGTCCTATATTGAGAGTTGAGTTTAGTCGAATAGAAGTTTTATTACAGGTTGAGAGGCGATTTTATGTTTGATTAGTTATGCCAGGTTTAAAGTCATTGGCTTAAACATGACCTGTGACTATGATGACTGAATGAGAGAGACTGGATATGACTCTGACATTAACCTACTGGCTACTCATCATTAACATGACTAACATTTCTTATACAGGACCTTAATTTTAACATCAAGTCATATGGAACACAAATGGTGAGCTGGAAAAACCATTTTACTTGGCTTCTTGATATGTAAGTTCAAAATCAGATGGAGTTAATGCTTTGTCTGGAAATGATATTTCAAATTGGCTGAACTATGTTAAAAAGAAAAACTTAAGAAAAGGTCAAGACTGCTCAGATAACCATCTAACACCAATGACAATGTTGAAAATACCCTGATTCAGAAGGTTATCAAGCTTTTCTGTAATAGACTCAACAATAGATGATTTGAAAATTAAAAAAAATTAAAAGTCAAAGATGTCAGACTCAATCACAATGTTATCTTCTGCGGGGACTAGAGAGTGGAGAAAATGTTTCTTGAATATATAACAGAGACTTAGAGCTGAAAACAACAATGCAGATACAATGAAGATACAATTAACCATAATTCTGTGTTCCATGCACTTAATGTCACTGTTTTTGTGCAAGATATCTCTCATTGCTCCTCATCGGGACTGAAGTAGCTCAGTGGTTTGGATGCTTTATTTGACATAATTCTGTGAGACCTCTATTGTTTAAATCAGTAAGCTTAAAACACTTTCCCTGGTAGACTGAGTAAAGCTATAACATGAACCGGCATGAAATGACCATAAACTCCCAGGAAACAACCAATGTAAAGCAATCAGGAAACTTGCAGGAAAACGACCGGAAACGACCTCAAACTATTTTGCCAAAGCAGCTAATTAAGCCAAACAAATTGTTAATTTTTGAAAAAATATGCATTTGGGATAAGTGCACTTAACTCTCAAAATCATGAAAAATTAAAATGACCCTTTCTTCATATTTTTAGTTACCCTCAGGTCAATTATTATTGTACTGTTTCTTCTTTTTAACATATGTATAAGCTTTTTTGAAGAAATTTAGGGGAATAAGGCTACCGTTCATAATTTTCGCTATCTGTATTATCTTTATAAGACGAAAATTAGCATATTTGTTGACTATTTACAAACTTGAGGCTGGATTGTTTACATTTCAGTGCCCAGAAATTTTGTATTGTTAGAAGAACTTGAGCAAGGACAGAAAGGAGGTGATGGTAATGTTAGTTGGGGCTTAGAAAATGACGATGATAACACATTAACACACTGGACTGGCACCATTATTGGCCCTCCTAGGGTAGGTCTAATTGTATTATCAGATTTAATCCACTTTATATTGAACCAGTAAGTGTATAGCGTATAAGCTTATATTGTATGTTTGATGAAAGTTAGTTTACAATATTTGTTATGACAGAAATCGATTATCCTCCAATAATACGATTTATTGTTAGAAAAAGAAACAAAAAAGACAATTTATTTGTCAGCATCATATAAAATTTGTCACAAGTTCTGCAAAATATAACATTAATATTATATGATACCAAACTGTTGGCAATAAAATAATTCTCTAGAAAAATATTTGAATTCATAAATAATTTATCAAGATTTGCTTAAGTTCTTTACAAGTTTGACTTATGAATTGAAACTTTGTAAGTTAGATCAAGATAAAATTGCTTATTCGCTCTATGTTTCTGTGTTATTAGTTATTATAAATAGGGTGTAAATGAATAATCAATCCCATTACAGTGTTACAGCCCTGATAGTTATGTACATAACAAAATGATATAATAACCCATCAGAACAGTCATTTCAATGACATCATCTTATTTATGATTTGTTTATATTTAAGACTGCTTATGAAGGAAGAATTTATCAATTAAAAATAACTTGTGGTGCCAAATATCCTGAGGAAGCCCCAACAGTTAAATTTTTAACACGAATTCATTCAAATATTGTCAAGGATTCTGGAGTAGTAAGTATTTGTCTTATTAAATTTTGATCTCTTTTTTAGTTTTGACTGGTGATGCCATGTAGTGTGCAATGAGGAATGTGTTGCCAGGATAGCGGCATTATCCTACTTTTTATACGCCCACATTATAATGTGACAGTTTTTGTCAGAATTTTATTAAAATTTTTGTTGGTTTAAATCAACAATATCTTGTACAAATTAGATTTTTGGTATGATTTGACACAGATAGGTGACTGCCCTTGATATACTAAAAAAGTATCAGGAAAGTGGACGTATCTTGTTAGGAAACCACTTTTTTGATTTCTTACATGCGAGAGCTCTTTTTTAATAGCCTGTTTCATATGGGACCTCAGATTATTGTCCCATCTGATTGACTTAACACTTTTTCCAATTTTTTTTATACTTTTGGAGTGTTGATGTAACTTCACATGATGACATACAAGGAAATTTGAGCCATGTAAGGAATATATAATTAACGTTTGATAATTTTTTTCTTTTCAGGTTGACTCAAAAGTATTAGACAAGTTAAAAAATTGGAATAGAAAATATTCAATAAAGGATGTTTTACAAGATATACGAAATTCCATGACTCAGAAGGAAAATTATAAACTCTCTCAGCCACCAGAGAGTTCAATATATAATTAGTAATGTTACTAGGATAAAATCACTCCTGTCAACATGTACACAGTTTGTAAACAACATGGACTCTTTCTTTGTATGATCTGTCAACAATATTCATACATGTCTGAGACTTTAACTAAAACTGAATAAATGGTAACAAATCGAGAGTATTGCCCACCTTTATGCTTTGGAATGTGAATGAAAATTGTTGACAGATTGTAAACAAACATTTTCATATGGATTGATTATGAGTTTCATTCTAATCTTTGTTCTTTTTGAATTAATAGAAAAATTTGGAGTAAAATTTTCAGTTTGTTAGATAACTTGTTTTAAATTTTTGAGTGGCTTATAGTCAGTGAGTACTCGGGCACATTTTATGGATAACAATTACTTAAGTAGAATTATGCTTTACTAAAAGTGACAGAATCATTGAAGCTTTGTATTCAAAGTACTTGTTATCCAGAATGACATCTTGTTGGTCAAGAAACATGTTCTAAATTCAGAAGACATAATAATCTTATATAGCCATTGTATAATGCCCTGAAAAATGTTCAAATTTTGTATGTATCTGTCAAGTATTATTCTGTTTCTTGCATTTGTTGTGTCTATTTGAAATAAATATCAACCAGTTGGATCAATAAAAGTGTCTCAATGTTAAAGTATTTTTGCAGCCCTTTCTTGATAATATAAGTTAAGAATTTCTTTAAATTAAATTAATTTGCCCTTTAAATCATACAGTAGTTTGTTAAATATAAGCATTGTCATATAAGCTAATTCTTTAAAAAAAAATTAAGTTAAATCAAAGCATTTATGAGAACAAACAAGGTTGATCTGTTTTACTTTTACTTTATTTAGTAATTTGATAGATAAATGTCGTCAAATGAATTAGAAAATCATTAAACCCAATTTTAATCATAAATCGATAGCATTATCTAGAATTTCAAATTGTTCCCAAGTCTCCCCTGTTTCTCACTCACTAGATCTTTTACTTTAGTTCACGAGGAAAAGATAATTAACTTGAAGTAGAAATAAGGATTGGTTTAAATGTGACTAGTGCTGTAGTCTAGTTAGTCTGAAACATTTGCCTCTATTCCAGCCTCCATATTTTGAGTTATCGGCTGGATTAGAGTCAGTAAAACTAAGTCCCGTTTTATGATATTAGATTACCTTTATGGGCATTACCGTTACTTTTGTTTTGTGAGTATTATGTGACCCGTGAGCTTTTGGCTGTGCACATAATTTTAAATGACTGAAGAGGGATTATTTTTGTGAATGAAAACTTTAATGGAACTGCAGACGTGACATGGGGCTTATGATGGTATGACTGAACTATGAAAATTTCCATCTTTCCCAATATATCTGGGTTTAGCGGATTTGATCTAAATAAATTCGAAAATCCCTACAAAACAGCCTAGTTTTTTGTCTCTACACCAGTGTAAAACTACAAAATAGTAATCAGAGACTGGAATAAAGGCAGATGTCTAGTATATGGTATAATATAACACATGTAAATTATGAAGGTTGTCTTCGAGACAAAACGATAACAAAAAGATTCGTAGACTTTTTTTATATTATAGAGAAAAATATCTGAAGGAGAATTTGTTTTTACTTTTTCTATAAGGGTCACCCTGTGATAATAAACTTGTCCAATTTTTCCATGTTCCAGAGATATTTTGAATTTTAAGCCATTTCACTTATCCTTACAAAACACTTGATGCTGCTCTGCAATTGAGTTTATCAACTCCCTATTCTCTCCAACATGCCAATGGTATTTGGTAACAATTTGTATAATTGACAATTTCTTTTAAGATGGAATCTAACAATGCCAATATAAAAATTGCTTGATAATGACATCTTGTTCCAGTGTTTTAGTGAAAGACACAAAGTTCTTTTTAAGAAAGCTATGTAAACTGATCATATTGCTATTAGGAGAAAATTACTCTATAATTTGCTGTATTTAAAGTGCTTATAAATAATTTTTTATCGATTCCAGTTGTTGAAATACAGACTTCTTTGTTTTCTCAATAAACTGAAAATTGTAATTTCATATTTTTTATTCTTTGCTTTGACATTTTCAATTTCATTTTGAATTAAGAGTACAGTAAACTATATTGGGGTAGTGTAAGTGAAATGAACATAATATCTATATCTAGAGTTATCGAGTTTCAATTACACTGAAACACAATAGTCTGTTCTGTTTTATTTCCAAAATGTGCCCAGTAACATACAGCCCTTGTATGTCCAACTTCAGTAATCCTTTTCACTTCACAAAATTCAAGTGTATCCTATTCATAGACACAGAATTAATACAGTTGTGGTTTAATTGTTTCAATTTGAACCAAGAGTCCCCAGTGACAAATGTCCACAAGCTCAGTCAACTGATCCAACAGCATTCACAATGCTATCCAACATCAATTGTTTCTATGTTACACAATATTCACTGATTCCCTACTATTGATTCAGAATGACTGCTTTCTTTTCTTGGCCTGAAAAGAAAACAAATTATAACTGCTCGTCCCAGTTAATATCAAATGTTATTTTCATTAATTTAAACTCATTCTTCAAGCTCAGTGATTAAATTGTTTAACTATGAAAACTGTGCTCTAAATATTACTTATTGGTAAAGAACTTACTAATTCCATAAACACTGACTGGTGAATGGTAATACTGCAATTATTGAACTATAAATATTAAACTTACAAAAGAATCTGATGAATTTCCAAAGTCTTTAAAAGAATCATTTAATTGCTGTTTCCTGAAAAATAAAGGAATAAGTGTTTATTGCTAACAGCTGATAGAGCCATTTTTAGAAACTATATCTCATATTACTTTATTAGTCAAAGCAGACTGCTGACAAAATAACATTTTAATTTAATAACCAAAACTTACTGTTCTTCTTTATTTCTGTCTGATTGTCTGCGTTTTAATCTATGTTGTGGAAATGATGGCATAAATTCTGGTTCACATGCTAGAAAATACAAATATTTACTGTCAAGTTGCATTGCAGTAGTTACAAAAAAATGTTGAATAAAATGTAAGATTTTCCCTTTATAAAAGACTTGCATTGCCCCCAAGAAAGAATCCATCAAGGAAAGGAAAGGAAGGAGAAATAGACTACTTGAAGAGTAGATAACATAAATTTGGTGGTGGACAGAATAATAATATGCCTTACCATGAGGTGCTTCAGAAAAGTAAGGATTTTCTATGGCATCTTCTGCAGATAATCTGAAAATTATAGAATTTTATCAGAAGCTGTTTTTTTTTTTATGTGCATCTGGTACACTGATAGCATAAATTTGCACCATTCCAACTTTCAGTCATTTGAATGGTGCAATTCGATGATGTCATACATACATACATTTTCAAGAAAACCTCTGTACAATCCCTTTAGAGTGAATATGTCATAGTTATCAGAAACATAAGAAAAGAATGTCTCATCAAAATTTAAACTGTGGTCTCTATCACACTCAAAAGTACTAAGCGATAAGAAAATTATTAAATCGTTGAAAATATCAAATATGAAAACATGGAAAAAGGGGAATTATTATGTTATTTATATGATCAGTTTGAGCAAGAGTATAGTCTTGGACTAAAAAAGGCTCAAACACATGAAATTATAGGAGAACAACTTACCTCTTACTAGGATCATACATAAATAAAGAGTTTAACAGTTGAATACCAGCCTCTGATAACCATGTAAATGTATGTCTTATATTGTTATATCTATATGAAAAAAGTATATATATATATATATAAAGTAGATAAATAAAGCAATAATCTTTACAGGGCCATAACTACATCATGGCAAATGAAACAAATGACTCACGCAATATCAACCATAATAAGTAAAGATACAAAATAAAAATTTTTTTGTTAAAGTTAAAAATATGAATGTGATATATCTCTAATTTGATGTCCATGGTAAGGTGGTTACTGTTCCAAGAACATAATTTTTGCCTCGTAGAAAAAGGACCCTGGTAACGGCCCTGCATTAATATATAAGGCTTATCTTGGTCAGATGGACCTTGATGAGCAAATATATATATGCAAGTCTACAAAAACTAAGTGTTTGATGACGTCACTAATTGCAAAGGGCCCTATATGATACCAGCATATTTTGCTATATTAGTATCATCAAAAACTTAGTTTTTGTGCAATTGTAGGAACCACAGACGTCTAACTGAAAATTGGTGAAAATTGATATTATCAGTGTCCCCCGAAACACAAACAATTTTAGAAAACCTCTTTACAATCCCTTTAATAGTTCCTAAATTTAAACTTACGGTTGTTGTCTTAATGTAAATTTTTCTAATGCTGGTAATGTGAGAAATTCCTGAAAATTAACAGAGATGTTTTAGTTGATATTACTGAATACTATGATATAATAATTCCCACAACAGGGTGTCAGGTCAAGATTAGCAATAAAATAGATAACAGGTTTTCATGTGCACATCTCATGTATTTGATTTTACTACTTTCTACTGCATCAATAATACTGTACCTTATACTAAAACAGACACCTATGAAGTACCTATTTTTGTACAGACATCTTATTCTAATTCTAATGTAAAAGTGATCTGGAATTTCCGCTTTGATAATGCATTCTATTATAATGGCAGCTTTGATTTTAAATAAAAATATTTGGCAGTACTGTAACAATCACTGGAATGAAATATTCAAAATTCAGTCATACATTTCTTTTTGGAGTGATCCGTGGGTGATAACAAACACTCACATCCATTTTATATGGGCGTATAAAAAAACAGATTTCAGATTACACTAATACTTACAGGCCATATAGTTTCATTAGGAGTGCCAAACATTTCAACAAGTAGATCTATTTGATGTAATTCAGAACGTCCAGGTAATAATGCTTTATGTGATAATAATTCACCAAGTATACAACCAGCTGACCTATTTAATATAGAAATATAATATAATTCACCAAGTATACAATCAGTTGACCTATTTAATATAGAAATATAATATAATTCACCAAGTATACAATCAGTTGACCTATTTAATATAGAAATATAATATAATTCACCAAGTATACAACCAGCTGACCTATTTAATATATAGAAATATAATATAATTCACCAAGTATACAACCAGCTGACCTATTTAATATATAGAAATATAATATAATTCACCAAGTATACAATCAGTTGACCTATTTAATATAGAAATATAACCAGTTGACCTATTTAATATACAAATATAATATAATTCACCAAGTGTACAACCAGCTGACCTATTTAATATATAGAAATATAATATAATTCACCAAGTATACAATCAGTTGACCTATTTAATATAGAAATATAACCAGTTGACCTATTTAATATACAAATATAATATAATTCACCAAGTGTACAACCAGCTGACCTATTTAATATAGAAATATAATATAATTCACAAAGTATACAACCAAGTATACAATCAGCTGACTATTCAAAATAGAAAGTTATCAAAGTTTACAAACAGTTGCAAATATTTTTGCAAACATTTTTGCAAAAATCTACAATGATACTCTGTTTAAAAAAAAAAAGATTTATAAAAAATAAACATTTTAAAGTTTTACTATTAGAATGAAGAAAACATGAAAACATATTAATCATAAATACTCACCATATATCAATACTAGTTGATTGTTTTTCTGAACCAAATAATAATTCTGGTGCTCTATACCTGATAAACAATATACAATATTCATTTACACTACTATAATTTACATGCATATTGAAGAAATACTTTCCCAAAGTAACCAATTATTTCAGAAAATGAAAAAAAGCAGAACAATTAAACTGATATCCCCTCAGTCTAATTCAAATGAGACTAAACTTTCATTCCATCAACTTTCATTTTTAATGTAACCACTACAGTTAATGACACAGCTCTTAAACACTCATCCCAATAACCTTTGGACCTAACCCTATGACCTCGGAATGTGGTGAGGTGCTTAAAATTTAAAAGAATCAAACATTCAAGAGAAATTCAAAATTCATAATATAAGAACTAACGTAACATACATACCATAATGTAACAACTCTTGGAGACATTGGTTTTTTAGGTATAACATATTTTCTTGCCAGCCCAAAATCAGCTGAAAATAGACAAAAACCTTTTGTTATTGAGTATAATGTAGGCTGACCTGGAAATGAAGATTGAGACAATTGAAAGGAAAGTTGACTAATATCAGATCTGGCCTCTGATAATGACTGTGAATGAACTAGAACTCAAATAGCTGAAGTAGTGAAATAACATTCATTAGTAATTTACCTATTTTGACACATCCATTATCTGTCATTAATAAATTTGATACTTTTAAATCTCTGAAACAGAATAGACAAATACATTTCATTAAATAATGGTACAGAATTACAAACTCTTTTCTTTTCATTTTGCCAGAGATATTCCTTTTAAGCTTTTGACCTGTAACTTGACACCTATGGTCTTATGTAATATATAACTTCTGAGAACTTGACCATTCACTAAGAAAAAGAAAGTTAAATGAAACTGTCTCTCTAATAAATACAACACCACTTACAATGACTCAATTCTTAATTGACATCATTTTAAAAATTTTAATGTGGCAATGCATGACATAATTAATAACACCTACCTGTGAATAATGAAGTTTTCGTGTAAATATCTTAAACCTTTAAATAATTGAAGCATAATGCATTTAACCTGAAATTTTAAGGTACCTATTTCAGACTAACTAAACTGTCATAGATCTACACAATATGATTTGCTAAATTGAATGTAATCTTGTATTTTTGAAGTATAAAGGGAATAGAGTTTAACAGGCTTTTGAAGTGGGAAATGAATTGGATTTTATGAATACATCCGAGCAAGATTCTTGAGTGTAAATCTTGAATCATTAGATTGGATCACAGGTGACCTTAAATTCAACTCCTTAAATAGTTTACCTGAGATTCTGAAAATGGAGCTGCCATGTTGTCTAATAATGATGCTAGATCTTGTTCACAATATTCCATTACCAGAAATATACTAAAAGAAAACATGTAGACCTAGATTTCATTATGGATAAACCATTTCTAAAAAGCCACCCAATAATGGCTTAGAAATAAAAAAAAAATTCTAGAAAAGAAAACCTCTTTGTTTAACTCTTTAAGTAACTTCTCTATTAGACTACTATTGTAGTAATGCTCCATACCTATCTAAACTTTTTCCAACAACCACTTCTTTCATTTCAACTATATTTTCATGTCTTAGGTTTAACAATATATTAATTTCTCTCAGTCCACTGATAGGTAAACCTATAGAGCAAAAAAGTAAACATCAGAATTGAAAATACCATGTAGTCTACAGACATTAGAAATTGCAATCTAGTCCACATACATAGACTGTACCTTTTTTAAGACAATGTGTAATTTTGAATATAAAGCATAAATATGTATATGAAGTAAATCTGGAAAATCCTTTGACACTATATTAAGATAGTCTTAATATAAGGTTTTTTTTTTTCAGAACATACATTTTGAAAGAAGTGATAGATTAAGCAAAAATATAAGACCAACCATCTTTTTCTCTTTCCATTCTCATCTTTTTTAAAGCAACAATCTTATCACTTTTTGTATCACGAGCACAATCTGAAATATAAGGAAAATATTCAAATTTTAATTGACTCTTTCATGATATTAACGATGATTATTAAATGTTTTTAATGTATCGATTAGTTTAGTCCTACAAATTTTAGAGCATTAAACGTACAAACAATTCCATAAGTCCCTTCTCCAATACGATTCAGCTTTTCGAACTCAATGACACTTCGACATTTACCAAACTGAAAAATAAAGAAATTGCGACAAGCATTAAAACTTCAATTGTGACTGTTATTTTAGAATAATATATTTTATTTGAATTTGAATATAAGCACAAGGGTAGTGATAGAATGACTTTGAATTGATTATGATATTAGTGAAAGGTGTTCTAAGAAGACTTCTTAACCTTAGTCTTACTCTCTCTTCTTAGTTCTTTGTTAATTTTCAGTGCCACTTACCCTAGACTTTTCGGGTATTTCCATCCAATCTCCAGATAAAATAGACATTAATTTCTGTTTGTCTTGACCAAAAGTTTTTGTAAGTTTGTCATCAGACATTTTGCTAGATCTAATCTTATAAAAAATAATTGGCAAAATAAAATAGAAATTTTAGACTTTTTCCATTTTTTTTTTTATCTCAGTTATCGAACTTAGCCACACTCTTTCGCTTTAGAAGTTAGATAATGTCTTATTTTGGGAGTAATCATTAGTAACTAGCTTTTGTGTTTTTCATGTGTTACTGTTTTTAGCAGAAAAACATTTAAAAGTATACTAAATATTTTCAATCATAAAGAATTAAATTTGAGAGGAAAAATCTCAAACGTTTACACAGAATGAAAAGAGACTGAAGGTTTATAAAACATCTACTCCCTGAAGGTCGGCAACATGGCGTCGAGACTGGTTAGGCTTTTACGACCAGCAGCTTCTGCTGTTTGCAAAAGTCATGGTAATAACACAAACCCTTTTCCTTTATCATAAAAAAGTGTAAATAATTTATCCATTGCTTTGTGACCTCTTTCGAATGCGTTCTTTTCTATAATTCAACACTGTAGGTAGATCTAATGTTGTTGAAGTTGAAATTCTGTCTAATCTGATGTTTACATAAAACTTCAATATTAGATCTACATGTATGTATAAATTTTGAGTGACATCCTTTTGATTCAGCTTTTCCTTTTCCCATTCAAGTATTGATAAGCATTAAGCACATTTCTTGTTATATATTTACTGCAACCAATACGACAGATCAGGACAGTACCTGTATCCATTATTATTAAATTTAATTAACAATGTTTGTCCAGAGTAGAGCCGGATATAGCTTAATAAAGTTATATAAAATACGGGAGTCAGTCAGTACTGCACATGATTTTTCTGCCCTGTACATAAAAAGAAAGAGCGACTTATGTACGTGCATTGATGCTAGTCAGCTTTGTTATCAACAAGGTTTCAGGAGAAGTGTATTTTAACTAACATACTTCACCATCTCATTTCAGTCATTCAGAAGCCAGTTATGGCATGGGCTGCTTGTCGAAATATGTCAGTTGACTCTTCAAAAAGCAAGCCGAATATGCGTAAGCTTTATTTTCCTTTTTTGTGGTGTCAGTATAGATGATAGTTCTTGGTATTTTATCCCTTGCATTGAAATTATTGAAATTGAAGTGAGTTTCAGAGGTCTTAAAAGCTACAAAAAGAATTTTATGTGGAGAAAACAATTCAAATATGTAATGAAATTTCTTTTTTTGTCTGCTGATTCTCAATGGTGTTATTCTTCCACTTATAGCCACGGTGAGACAACCAGATGAAGTTTCCAGGAAAACTCTAACTGACTTTGGAGCGTATTGTGCCGATTGTTTACCTAAATATATTCAGAAAATACAGGTTAATCATGTTGAGGATTTGGAATTATTGATTCATCCAGAAGGTGTTTTACCTGTCATCACATTTCTTAAAGATCATCACACCGCTCAGTTTTTAACTATCACTGATATTGCTGGTGTTGATGTACCCACAAGGGAGTGTAGATTCGAGGTGAGTATAAACTGGTATTGTTTGCCAATTAACTGGCAAATCAAACTTTTTCAACAACCTGTGAAATTTCAAAACAGGACAAGGTTTATCTCTATGGACAAAAACAAAATAAGTCAATTATTAGTTCCATAGTACCATCAATTCTAGCACAATATAAAAATATATTTTATATGAAGTACTCACTGAAAGTGTGTGGTAGAGAATTTGCTCAATTCGTGGTCATGAAAATTATCTATGCCCAGATATCCAGTGAATGTAGATAGCTTTGCCTACCTAATGTTAAGAAATTGATTGTATTTAGCAAAATTCATTAGGATAACATTGATAAGGTTTAGGACAAGTATTTAATTTCACAATATTTTGTGAAAAGATGTTAAGCATGATTAAGTTGATGTGTATGACTGTCAATTGACACATTAAGACTCTATATAATGTTATTTTATATTTCAGATAGTCTATCAATTTTTATCAATACATTTTAATGCTAGAATTAGAGTGAAAACCTATACTGATGAATTGACACCTATTGATTCTATTTGTTCTGTATTTGAAGGAGCTAACTGGTATGAAAGAGAGGTAAGATAGTTACTATTCTCTTGAATTGAAAAGCACATTTATTACATATAGCGGTGATATATTTCTCTTTCTTCTTCAATTTAACCATGAAAAAGGCTTTTACATAAAATCATGGTGTATAGGATAGACTAAAATCATTTTAAGGCACAACAGGCAGTAGTTTGTTTCAATGAGCATTGCTGTTTTAATAGCTAGATGTTGACTTGTATAGCCTTGGTAGTTAAAAGAGGATTTGCATGTGCAAAATAATATATAATACATGTACTGAATAGAGGGTTTTAAAAGGTATGATGGGCCTTTTTTGAACAGCAATCATACCTCAGTCTCAGAAACGGGAATTGTTCAGCTAAACTTATCGGTCATAGTAAATTATTTTTTAAAGTAACATAAACTCCACTTTTGCTATTTGCCTATTATAGGCTAGGGATATGTACAGCTTCTTTTTTGGTTAATAATTTAGGATAATGTATGATATATTTGTTGTTCATTATAGATTTGGGATATGTATGGTGTATTTTTTGCTAATCACCCTGATTTAAGAAGAATTCTAACAGATTATGGTTTTGAAGGCCATCCATTTAGAAAAGATTTTCCACTCTCAGGTTATGTAGAGGTAAGTACTTTGGAATTATTAATTTCAAGCTATCTTTGAACTGATATCTGATCAACAAATAGGTATTTTGTAAAGATGTTAGGTGGTTATGAGCCAGAAAAAACATTTACAAGAAAACTGTGTTCGCTTGTAATCAAATTCAGCATAGTCATCACTGGTTTACATAGCTTATTCGAAATATTTATTATTACAGGAATGACATTGCTATGTCAAACTATCTGTTAAGCATGTTGTTAGAATAAGAATGAGTAAAGTAACCAAAGGTTCATTAAGCGGTATCGCATAGCATTTTGCCAATCCAATATTTCCTTTGATCAGCCAAATTTAAAAATTAATCTGAAAAATCAAATAAATATGCCAACACACTCTCTCAATAACCTTAAGGAACTTAGGTCATTGGCAAGATTGCTCTGAAGTCTACAATTGGAACATTTAAATTGCAACAAAATTTTGATGAAATGTGAATCAAAATGTTACATGTAAATCTTTGTTTTTGTATACCATAATTGTTATCATTTTATGTCCAAAAGAATTGATCACAAAGTTTTCTCTGTTTTTTTTTTAGGTGAGGTATGATGAAGAAGTACAAAGAGTTGTTATTGAACCTATAGAAATGACACAAGAATTTAGGAAATTTGAATACAACACACCATGGGAGTCATTCCCTACATTTAGAGCAAGTAATACAGAAACTGCTGCCATTGAAGAAGGGAAACCAGCAGAGAAGAAAGAATAAATTATAAAGAACTGTGATAGAAATAATCCAAATTTGGAACATTTAAAATAGTGCTCTTTGGAATAACTTTGGGAAATATTACCAAGAAGCCAGATAAAGTTAACACAGTTGTAATATGTAAATAAATTATTGACAGATATGAGGCTTTTCTCTTTCATTTGAAAGACTCATATCAATACTAATTTCCAACGATTGAGTTTGTTTGTTTATTTGTCATAAACAAAAGCATACCCACTGATCACTTTCATAGGTAATATCTGCTTCGGCTTTAACATTTGTTTGTGGTATAAACAGTGCTAGTTTTAAATTTTACACTAATAAAACTAAAACAAGATTAGATTTTGTTTTACCAAATATACTGCCTAGCTACTTATGCTTGGTAACTTTCCTCAACAGAATAAATATCATTGCTTGTTTTTATAACATAAATAAATAAACAATGATATAAGAATTATACTGTATTTCATGCTCATTCATTCAATATACATTTACAAATGCTAAATCTTTAAAAATCCTTGATTTTTCCAGCAAATCATTGCTCTTGACTCTTACGATTTATTTTATTAGTTTTGCCACCACTACAAATGTTGCTTGCCAGATTGGATATGCTCTCTTTTATGGAACACATGTTAACACTCCAAAATTAGATTTGTATACTCCGTAGAGTCCACATAGCTAATACTGGAATATCCTGGAAACATACTTTTCACTTTGAAAACACGTCTACAAAATTTTGAGAGATTCCAAATAAGATGTTGAACAGTCTGTAGGATGGTGGGTGCTTCAATGATGTCATTTGTTCAGTTGATAACTTATTCATTACAGTCAATGTCATTTCCACATCACTAGCACCTATACATTATCATACCTACAACACCAACCTTCTCACTTAGATTTATGATCCATACCAATTGCATCCTGAACATTTGAATAACCATCAGCCCTTTAAAGATAAAAGAACACACATATTATATATTCTTAAGAATTTGATTGACAAAAGAATGGCAACTTTTATCTTCAACCATTCCTAGAGATGCAAACTTGAGTGCTCCCTTTTGCTACAAAAGACATCACAAAAGTTTGTGGTACGTAGGATTCCCACTCTTCTATTGTTAAATGGAGACAAACCTTCCATGTATCCCATTAGCTACAATTCCAGATCATTTGGTAACATTTCGCATAAAGCTTTTGAATGCAGTCCACTGTTGTCAGTTCGTGGACTTTGTTTTCATTTTTTAAGATATTGTACACTTACTGAAGCAACTGATCCAATTCTTTTTTAATTTTTTTAACAACTGGAGGACCATGATAGACTAAAGCTGTATAAAGTTGTATTAAAGAGGCTCCTGCCTTAATTTTCTCGTAAGCATCTTGTCCACTAGCTATACCACCAACTCCAATTATAGGTATTTTACCTACTCAATAGAAATATGACAAGAAATTCTACATTTAATTTCCAGCATTTGATCAGTCTAATGAAGATAGCCATGATTAGGCACATTGAGAGAAAATTTGTTAGCAGAGGCACATACCCTCCTATTTTGCCATTTTCCAACTATTTTGAGAACATGCAATCTGAAGCATGATATCTTTTCAAATTGGCAGTTATGGATAAATCAGATTGATGAAACCAGGAGGTACCATTTGGACAAATGCTGGGGTTGATCCCAAGACCTCCAGGATACAAGCAAGTGGTATAAGCTTTTTTCCCCTTTTATTATCTTCAAGATAATAAGACTTAATAATTCCTACAGAAAATGACAAAACATACCTTGTGTTAATTTGTACATGTCACTTATAGTTGAGGTAGATAACTGTTTTAAAGGGAGACCACTCAATCCACCTGTTTCTGCTTTATTTTGACTCTGTAAAGATTCTGGTCTGCTGACTGTTGTATTACTTACAATTAAACCATCTACACCACTCTACAACATAAATACTGACTTACTATTGTTTATGATTTCATGAACAAAATTGTTTTAAAACTACCTTTATGTTAAAGACATTCAAATATATATTAACCATCTTTGGAGTAGTAGTTTTATATCTGTTCAAAATGACATTTGCATTGGTAAGATGTTTCATTATTGCAATTATTGCATTTAACCCTTTCAACCCAACTGGACTGTTACCAGTCACATAATTACACAATATAATACCCAACAGCTGTTACCAAGTAAGGTCACATAACCTTAAGGTCATACTCTTTAAGCTATATTACTTGCAGTTCAGAGTGTGCGTGGTATATCATTTACACTCAGTGTTCAAACTGTTAAGGGGTTTAACTATCTTACACTATCTTGCAAAGTGTTGCTTGTTAAAGTTTCCATTAAGTCTTACCTTAGATTTAGTAACAATGTCTGCTATATCTTTCTTTTCATCAGAAGTTAAATCTGGTGCTATTTTAACTAAGAGTGGAACTCTGGTTTTTAGTTTATCTCTTTCTGTAGATACCTGGAATGTAATATAGTCTGCAATCAGTTAGTTGCTCAAGCTTTTACTTTACCAGTTGATGGAGAACATTGATCCAGAAACACACCAAGAACAGTTTGACTTTGTCACCATAAATGTTAAAAATGTGACAAAAACTCATTGTATGAGGTAACTAGAATTGGCAAAATGCTTTTTTTGCTTGAAAAATACCTGAAACAAGGAATTTCACTTTCTATTTCTATAATTGTCTTTTCTTTATACATACCTTTCAAAAAAAAATTCCTGTTTCTGAGAATAAATTATGATTGGTTGAACGGATGTCGAACCTGTCCCTACATACAATCAAAATTGTAGAAAACACTAGGTAAATCCACTGATGAATATGCATGTATATTTGTATCAGACTGATTTAAAATATATTCTACATTCTTTTTAAGGGCATGATATCTTTAAGATAATCAGTTTGCCAACTAAATCTCAAGAAGATAAACTTAGCCTAGTATTGTTTCCACTTATCTATTTCACATCAACAAAAGACATGCATTATGGTTTTTTTTGTTCATGGGTGTTTTTATGTCCACAAATGGGAAATTCAACACTTGCTTTCAAACTATAGCATTATTTATGCCATTGGATGGGCCAACTCTGCTTTTATTAATCAAAATCATTATCAAATTTAAAAATCAAGTATTGCCCAAATTAAAAGTGGAATGCCCATTTAAATTCAGTATTCTATGGTTTAACATTGCCATTATATAAAAGCAATCCATCTTTAAATTCATGTGAATGTCTCCTGATAAAAAATGATTTTAATGTAAAGTTAACTGATAATGGAATGAAAGATAAGATCTAAGGTTTATAAAAACAAAGTCACAATTTCTTTCAAACTACCAGACGACAAAATATGAAGCAACTTTGGATTTGCTTGGTGATTTTGTTTTGTTATCCAATCAGTGTATCAGCATCTCAAAAGAAAGGAATATGTATCGGTCCTAAAGCTACCAACTATCATTGTAATGATACAAATGTTTTTCAAACAGTATCTTGGTGGTATGTATTCTAATTCTTTATTAACCAGACTTAACTAATGCAAAGGGTTGGAAGTTGACTTGACTTTGTGTCATGTTAAAGGGATTGTAAAGAGGTTTTCTAAAATAAATAATGTGTATATGGGTCACTGATAGTATCAATTTTCACCATTCCAATTTCCAATCGTTAAGACCTTACGTGATACAAGCATATTATATTGCCATTTAGTGATGTCATCAAACACTCAAAGTTCTATCGGAATTGCACGAACCACAGATGTCTGATTGAAAATTGTAATGGAATCAGTGTCCACAATACCCATAAAAATTAGACAGATGAGATGAATCAATACCAAGTATGAGCTAAATATTACTATTTCTTAAGATGACAATGGCTACTTGTTAATTAAGAAAGATTAAAAAACCTCACTAATATATGAATAAATCTTTCAACAGGTATGATTGGGCATTGAATGAATCTGAACATCACAATAAGCATTGTACAAATAAACCAAATGGAGAATATGTACCAATGTTTTGGGGTCATTATGCTTTAAAACATGCTTTACCATCAGGAACACAACATGTACTAGCTTTCAATGAACCTAACCATAAAGACCAATCCAACATGTCACCACAAAAGGTAGCTGAATATTGGCCAGAACTGGAGAAAAGAGCTGGTCATAGGAAGATCATTAGTCCTGCCCTTGCTGGATGCAGCAATGCTCAGAATTGTATCAACTGGTTTACAGAATTTTTTCAGCATTGTAAAAATTGTCGTGTAGATGCACTGGCTGTTCACACATACAGTTGTAATGCTCTTGGGGTGTTTAATGCTTTAAAAAAGATAGCACATCATTTTGGTAAAAATCTGTGGTTGACAGAATTTGCTTGTGCAAGTGGTAAAACTGTTGACCATCAGATCTCATTCATGTCAAAACTCCTACCACTGCTGGAAGGGGCACCATTCATTGAGAAATATGCCTGGTTTATGACCAGAATGGCAGGAAATAGTTCATTTATCAACACTTCTATTGACCTGTTAGAATTTAAATCTTCTAAACTGACCAAGCTAGGTCGATATTATGATTCTCATCACCATTCAAAATAAACATGGTTCTCTAATAATATTTGTTGTTTACAAAGTATTGTCAAATACACAGAAGCCTTATTCCAGTCAATCACAAAAATTGATTTAAAATTTAGTTTGATTAGCCTCTGGGATAACAGTATTTCTTAAAACTGACCTAAGTTAAGATTTTTTAGAATAAGTCTCCAGATGAATAGGACCTTAAGAACATGAAATAGATATAGCCTGATGCTGTTAGATTGTCATATGTTACATGTTTTTCCCATTGTCATACAGATAAAAGAGACTCACAGACAATGTGAGCATATAACATTTACCAACCTTCTGTAAGAGTTCTTCCAATTGCTTACGCCCTTGCATAGCTCTAAGACCAGGTGTATTGGGACTCGATATATTGACAACTAAATAGTCAGCCATTTTACCAAATACTTGTACACCTTTAATATAGTCTGCTACAGGATCAGGTGATGTCTTATTTTTACCAAGATTTACTCCCATGATGCCCTTTTCTAAAAAATACAAATCAGAAATGAACACTGAAGGGGCAGTCTGTTTTTTTTGGTTACATTTATGAATTCTTTACACAAAAATCTAGAGAAATACTTATCTAAAAGTTGCTGTTAATTTCAAAATGCTTAAAAAAGTTAAGCTTGCTATGTTTTGATAAGAAAACTAATTATTAACAAGCTAAATATTCTAGAGCACACAATCAAAACAGTACACAATTAATGTACCTTGCCTTTTAACAGTACTAGTATCAAAATAAGAAGGAACTTCTGTCCAAAAATTGATATTTAACATATTTCTGTATTCACTCATGTCAGGTGGTACATGAAGTTTACTCTCTACAAATAGAGGAAAAATGACTGTTTTCAAATTATATCTGATGGTTTTGATTAAATTACCTTTACTGCTTTGTAATGAACAGTTCAGTAAAGAGACAATCGAAGATTTATTGGAATCTGGCAAAAGGTCTTGTTTACCAAACAAAGGTAAACAAATATTGAACATTTACCTGAGAATATTTGTTTATTCAATCTATCAGCTACTACTTGATGGCCATCACTATTAAAACCATATCTAAAAATATTAAAGGGATTGTAAAGAGGTTTTCTAAACTTTTTATGTGTATCAGGGACACTGATAGAATCAATTTGCACCATTCCAATTTTCATTTCGATGTCTGTGGTTCTTGCAATTCTACTAAAACTAACCGTTTTATGAGGTCTCTAGAGGGGAGCTACCGGAAGCTACTATCAATAAATATGCAGTTTCCCTCTAGAGACGTCATAAAACACATAAAAAGTTTAGGAAAACCTCCTTAAAATCCCTTTAAGTAACCTTTGAATTAAATGGAATGCTGCGTTATAATTTAACCAGATGGGTAATGAAAATCCAAAATTTTAAAAAAAATTTTAACTTTCCAAATTATAATTGAACACTGATTCTTGGTAATTGTTTTCATCTGCTCAAATTAATGCTCCTCTTATCTCATGTAAAAATCATCACATGTAGCCTAGTTTCCAAAAGGTTATAACAATGTTTAACAAACACATTAAAAAAATCAGAAATATTCTCACCTATTTATAACAGCTTTATCTTCTTTTAATCTAAATACACGAGGTTTAGGGTTGCCAGACTGTGGTTCTGGTGTAACACTTCCAACTTCCACAAATCCAAACCCCATCCTTAATAATCCCTCTACAGCTTCACCTTGTTTATCAAATCCTGCTGCTAGTCCTACAGGATTACTAAATTTTCTACCCCATAATTTACTTTCCTGAAACAACAATAAAGAATTTTCATTTATCTCAATACCAACCAGGGTAAAAATTTCACTATAGATTCAGTTGCCAAAAAAACATTTCAGCTTAAGTGTAGTTGTAAACTTAAAGGGACAGATCCACCATTTTGGGGATTGATTTTAGTCTTGAATATATGTAAATAGTCTTCAGAAGTACATGTACTTGAAATATACAGAAATCACATATCTCAAAGCAGGGATTTCTTTTCCTATTTCTATAGATGTCCTTTCAATATAGTGTCTCTCAGGGCCTTTTTAACATTCAAACTAGATAATTCTAGACACACATGGATTTGGGGGCTCAAATTTCGATGGCAAGCTGTGGACACTATTACTGATTAGCTTAACTAAGTTCCTGTTTCTGAGACTAAGGTACGATTGGTAAAAAAAAATCTGTCCCTTTTAGTTTTGAGACAATGATCTTTTCAGTCAAATTATTGAAATATTGACAGCTGGGTAGGCTGAAATGATAAAGAGACAAGAGGACTTTATCAGGTCACAAGACTTTCTCACACAAACTGAGAGTGGAACTCACAACCATCATTTTTCCATAAAACAACACATAATCAAGATATGAATTCATAAATTTCTAACAACTTCAAATTTGCATTGAAGATATAAATTATCTCTGAATGTTGGTCCACTACTTCCAAAGAACAAAACGTAACATGAAAGATTACACAGAAGTTAAAATTATGTCAGCACATCCACTATATTCATTATATAAACCGAGAATTACTCAAAAGCTTTCCATTAGATTACAGCTTACCAAAGATGGTGGGTCAGGTGGTGGTTTTCGTAGTATGTTATATTTAGACACTTTAACAGCTAAATTATGAGCAGTTTCAGCATCTAGAAGCCTGGTAGCTGGCATCACCATATTGGTATAAAATTTCTCATCCCCTCGATATGTTGACAAACCAAAAAATAACAGGGTACCTCCTCCACATACGATTACCATCTGTTTTAATTGTTTCTTAAAAAAAAAAAAAAAAACAATTCATGGAATGTAAATTTTGAAGGTCATGATTTGCCATTTTTGGAGGTTTTTTTGGGTTTTGAATATTGCATAGCCTATATTGACTTGGCTATCTCAAAGGGCCTAGTGAAGGTGACACCATTAAAAGTTTAGTTTTAGAAGAATAAAATAAGTAGAAAAGCAAAAACCAGACATCTCACAGCAAAATTGGAATCGTGCAAATGGACTTTATCTGTGTCCCCCGAACACATAAAAAATTTAGAAAATCCCTTTAATGAATTTATATTCATTTGCGGTAATTTCTTCTATTTATTTCGATTACTTCCCCTGGAAGACAGAAATTACATAAGGTTTGAAGTAAAACATCAATGAAAATGGTGTCAAAAATGATCAGGACTTACAACAACTATGCTTCCATTAGATGCACCACTCATTTTGTATTGTAAATGCTCAGTCACATAAAAACAACTAATTCTTGCTGTTGATCTGGCCACTTGTTGTTTTGTCTTTAGCAGGTGCCCGTCGTGGAGTTGTGGACTCTGATCTATAAATAACTTATACCGGATAGCTCATAACTCAATCAGCCAATGGTGATGCTTGGATCCAGCGACCACCATCTTGGAATTCCCTACTCTTTAGTCTCTTATTTCCAGTGACGTTAGGCCTACACCATTCGATCATTTTTTGGCCAAATTTTGTGGCCTGCATTCGATAACATTTTCTTAATTTTTGAAAATCTACGCATTTTAATTATAATTAAGATAATATAACAATGGAATAGTTTCCTTAATTTTAAAAAGTTTCATCTACTGTTGTAACATTTTAAAGGAAAACAAAAAATATTCAAACACCGTCGATATTTGAGCCTTCAAATGCAACCGGGCTGAACTTAGCATACACATTCAACTAGCATACAGATTCGGAATCGTCTCAGCATACACATAATTCGTGGCAAATCGACCCGATATGAAATCTGAATTATTTCTAACTTAAATATTGTAAAAATAACTTAACAATTTTTATGACAAATACAAATAAGAATTCTTTCAATTGCACAAACACCTATATGTCTAACTCTCTTAGTCTTGGTACTGTGGCCCATTTAATACATATTTGAGTAAGTTGAAACTTACCAAAGTATCAGCTTCCATAAAGGAAAAATTAAGTATTAAATGGGCCACAGTACAAAGACTAAGAGAGTTAGACATATAGGAGTTTGCGAAATTGAAATGATTCTTATTTGTATTTGTCATAAAAATTGTTAATTTATTTTTACAATATTTAAGTTAGAAATAATTCAGATTTCATATCAGGTCGATTTGCCGCGAATCTGTATGCCAGTTGAATGTGTTTGCTAAGTTCAGCTTAGTCAAATATGAAGTCCTGTGCTTTGAACCTTTAAATTTTGGTGTTTACTCGTTAATATTTTTTTCATATTCCCCACTTCAAGGTTTTAAAATTGGCTGGTGCACCTTTGTAATTGAAAATTTTTGCTACTATAGAATTATTCTTGTCTGAAACTTGTTTATTTTCATTTACTTTTCTGTAACACTAATGTGCTACTGATGCAGTGATGCGTCCAATTCGGTTATCAAACCATATTTTTGATTTAGCCTGTGTACAGGTTTGACACGTACAGCATAGTCAATACTTTGTTCTGTTGTTGGATATTTAGTTTTAACATGAGTTCTTTCACAAAATCACTTGCATTAATGTTTTTCCTCTTCTATGTAATTATTGCAGAAAAGATAAGACTAAAATACAGATGTCTAGGTAAACTTTATTGGCAGTGATATGGCACAGCTGATTAAAAATATATATATAAAATTCATTTTTGATTTTGGCTGCCGACATGAAAAATGGCAAGCCAACCAGTTACCAATATAATATAGATAATGATATACACCAAAATTTTATTGATTGATCATAATATAGTATTAAAGTCAGTTCTTTTACTGAATCCATATTTTAATTTAAAACCATGAAACCATCCAAATATTTTTTAAAACCATAAAACCATCCAAATATTTTTAAATCATCCAAATATTTTAAAACCATAAACCATCCAAATATTTAAAACCATAAACATATATACATGCTTGACCCTAAGTGTGCAGGGGTCAACAAGCATTGGACTTGGGCCTGAGCTCCAGCAGCACTCCAAATCCGATTTTATAATCAACTGAGATTAGAAGTGTTGTTCTAAATGCCACATCAGACTTCTTAGATCAGCTGTGCCGCTTTTATAGTTGACTGTAATTATATGTAGCACATATAGAGAATAACCAATTATAACTTAACACCAATGTTTAACTCGTCCAACATTTAACCTGAAAAAATATTGAAAGAAAAACAGAAAACTATTCATAACCAAACTCGGGGTAGGGTGGGTGGGATTTATTTTGGTTGGATTGACAATTAAAGTGTTGAATTTTTCAAATTTCTTTGCAACAAGAAATCTAACCAACCTCTCTGATGGCTGATTTATCAAAGAGGAAGTTATAGGCTCTAAGCTGCCCCCTGTTAGAGATTTAACTAGGCTTAAAAGGAGAAACTAACTGACTAGGACTGTGCATCTTTAATCTGGATAATCTAGTCTTTTCTAATCTAATCTATTTAAAGTGATGATGTATTGTATTATGATTTGCTTAAAGTAGCTGTGTTGGAATGTAATATAATCTAGTTAATGATGAGTATGTTTTTTGAAGTAAATAAAGCAAGGTATCTCTCAGCAATAAATTCATCTATTGAATATACAATAGATGTGAATATTTTCAATATCAGGATTAACCGCATTTTGCTCAACACTGCTTCTTGGAGAATATAAAAGTACACCACAATTTCCATTTGTTATCTCTCTTAGCCTATTTCAGTCAAATCTGATATTGTTTTTTCATTGCGGTAGCTAGCAGAATGCTCTGGGTTCAAATGTCAATCGAGACTTTTTTCCACGAGTTTGAAAATCTTCTTGAGTAGTATCAAATCTACCTGTAGCCTAACCTTTTTCACAACAAGATTTCTTACAAAGTCCGGTTGTGTAACCCTTTTCCCTTGAACATGTGGTTTGCTTGGGATGTACATGCTTTGTTGCATCCCGACTCTATTTGCCTAACAATAAAGTGCAACAAGGCAACGCAATGTTTGCAATACCCACTTTTCCCGTTCTCTTCTGGAGGACTATCCATACACTATATGGTGCTTGTGTCTCTGCCTTTTGTCGAGCAACAATAGCCTTTACATAGCAGTAAGATAGCCTATATTTGAACTGGTATTCAACTCCAGTAACATGTCCAGATTAAGTAAAAACTTTCTCCTTCTTTTGTTGATTTTGATCCTTTCGTCGGGACATTATGGATCTCAGCACCTGTAAAATTAATTCAGTTTATATATATACATGTATAATACATCTTAGAGTAGTTTATTGAGGAAACAAATCGTGAACTTGCATGAGTGTAAACTAGACACACCTGCTTTGTTCTTTATTTATATGTTTGCACACAAGACAAGCCAAGAGGCGGGACCTTTTTATACTAGGTGAATCAATCTACCGAAGTGATTGATTGCTTAATACCCCAGTCCCCAATCATGTTAATCAGGTAAGCGAAACACTGTCAATTGCTCTAGGCATCTTGTAACTCACATGAGTGCTCTTTGGAGCATTAATTGCCAGTTCATACATTTTGTTTTAACTTAAACATAAATAATTGTGAAGTCTATTCTACTTGACTAGAATGAATAGAATCATGATACAAACATAATAATCAAAAAAATAATGCTGGATACAAGTCAGAAGGAACAGTAGTGGAACAATTTTACCTTTTAATATGAGCGTTTTTTCAACCAATGTTTTTAGCCTTACAATCATAGTCTTACTGATTGTTTGTAGTTTGAGGTATGTAAATAATTCAGTGATTAGCACAATTTTACTAAATGAATGGGGTTTTACATCCTACTTTTCTGCATCTGGGCTACTGAAGATGGGCAACGCCATGCAGGGTACAATGAGGGAAATTTTGTCAGGACAGTGGCTTTAGTCTGCTCTCTTTCAATAGCACTGAGTATTCAAAACTACTAGAGGGTGACATATGATTCAAATAAACCCACCTTTACTTCCATGCATCATGATTTTGAGGATCTTAAACGAGGGTCATAAAACTTGATGTGCAGCATTACCTAAAACACATGTTAAGGTGAAATTGTCATATTGGACAAAGAAACTATGATTCTAATAAAAATTATTATTATGAAAACATATAGACAAGTGTGACCCTTGTGTCTGTGTTGTCTGTACCGGCCAATAGGGGTTAACATATTTAAAGCCCATTTACACGGTAAAGAAAGTTGTATCAACCATGGTTTGTAAGGCAAAATTTGCCGTGTAAAGAGGGCTGTAACACTGTATTAATACAGCTTACAGGAGTAGTATATTTCACATGTTTTATTCTGTACAGCAAGCTGTATCCAACTTTTATATTTGACGAATGGGAGCACAAGTTTAAATCTTAAAAGGTCATTCTCAATTTTGGCGGGAATTTATGTTAACAAATTGGGAGTGATTCATGCAACTTTATATACTGTGTAAACTGACAATGAATATATTACAAAAGTTGTATACAACCTGTTTTACTGTGTAGATGGACCTTAGATGTGCAGGCTCTAACTCTCCTTAGAATGTGATTTAGTGCTCAATTATATTACACTGCTTGGCAATCATTCCACTTTAAGACATGTATCATAACACAAGGGCAACAGTATGCTATCGCAATACTGTGTAATAGACAAATTGTAACATTATATCTTCAAAGTTTTAACATTCAATCAGACGTCTGAAATTCCACTAAAACTGTGTTTGATGATTACTATGTATAATTTTGAAACATATTTGGCCTGATTAGCATGCTTTGAATTCATTACAAAATGGTTTGAGGTTGTTTCCTGGTCATTTTTTTCGGCTTGGCTCCAAGTCGTTTCACATTTTCTTT